ATGGCTTTGATGCGTAAAATATCATGCATACAAGCATGCTATTGCATGTGAATGCGTTGGGGTAACGGTACCGGGTAATTGATACCCGCGTTTAGTCTACGCTCTATTTCCTGAATTACATCATTTATCTCTTAGATAATGGTCTGTTCAACAATTATAAATGAAAAATAGGTCCGATATAATAAAATTGTATAATTATAATGGGTTAGATTTTATGTACGGGAACTACTTCTCTTCATACAAAATAATGGATAATTTCGGTACCCCATATGAGGCCTCATAAGTAAGGGTTATACTATGTTTAGAACATGATGGAATTTCCATGATTTGTGTGACGAGCTGAATATTGATGTGTAACATTCAAATTTTGGTGAGTGAGCGTAATGAAAAATAATGTTTAAGTAACTATGATTTTTGTACGGGAACTGCTCGCATGCCAGTACACTTTAAAACCATGTATTATAACTTTAATGATTATTTTTGCTACTTGAGGTTAAAAAAATAAATGATAATCATTACAATTGTGCATAAATAATGTTTAGGTGTGAAACACTTAAAAGTACGAAATGAACTCATGTGATTATACAATGTACTTGGTTTTTATCGTATATCACTTATCAATGGCATTATTGTTTTTGTTTACCTTTAAAGTTGCCGATTTTTGAGGAAATTTTCAGTGTTATTTTGGGAATTTATCAGTCACGAATAGGGAAATTTGCTGTCTATTTTCTATTGGGAATGGTGCCGTTTCCGGTATCAGTTATATAAGGAAAAAACTCTGTGTTTAAATCATATGAGCTGTCTGCGCCCTAGGTAGCACCTAATTTCATAATTATTATATATTGTCTATTTCATAGGTGTTTGGCATGTAATTGGTCACTTCCTTCCCCCCCCCCCCCCCCCCCTTACCCATTTACAACCCTCCTACCTCTCAAAACCATGTAAACTGCAGTATTTTTCATTTGAAACATGTTTTAATATTTGATATACCGGTATGCTTTTAATTCAATTTTCTTCATTTCCCACAAAAAAAAATAAAAAATTGATACATATATATCTAGAAAAGGTATGTAACTCGCCCCTCATTTTTCAGCACTCATCTTAACTCATTCGACCCGTACGCCGAGTATAGTCGTCGTCTTTATCTGTTATCGTGTACCGCGCGCCGAGTATAGTCGTCGTATAAAATTTATCGGCTATCCCGCATGACGAGAGTAGTCGTCGCGTATTGAACTACTACTGTATACCGCGTGACGAGTTATGTCGGCGCATTTCATTGGTTGTTTCGACGGATTATATTTAGATTTGAGGTATTTTGACCAATCAGGAAACGCGTTATATGTATAGTATAAAGGTTTACCTATACGAAAGTGAAAATTTTATCAAAATATCTCTATCTGAAAAAAAGTTATATTGCGTTAAAAAATGGAAAATCGGAAGAATTTATTTGACATTATGTTTGATACGGACACGGAAAATGGCGCAAATTCGGATTGTGACATTAGTCTCGATAGTGAAAGTGAGATAGAATCAATCGGATAGATCGAGTGACAGTCAAAGTGAAAATGAAAGTGCGGACGAAAATGAGGAATATTCTCAGTGGAAGACAAACGATCGGTCAGAATTGCCTAAGAGACCATTCACAGGCCCAAATCCAGATCTTGATTCGGACTCAAATGAATTTGATTTCTTTGAACTGTTCTTTTCTGTGTTTCTGATTGAGCTACTTTGTAAAGTAGACAGTAATTTTGATTTTGTTTACAAAAATATTTAGTTGATGACCTTTTTTTACATTCCTTTTTATCCAGAAAAGTAACATAATTGAAAGCTCTAGAAAATAAGAGTAACTGTTCTAATGTAAGAAATACAAAAATGTAAACACCTTACAGTTTTTGTATTTATTTTGTAATTATTTTTATATTATTATTATTATACTGGTTGGAGACCACCAAAACCGGACAACCATCAAACCCGGACGGCCCAGAAAATGCTTAATTTAGTATTTTCTTTGTTCAGTGGATGTCAGTCACTTTTTTACCAACAATAAATGCATGTTTCTTCTATAATTAAGTAAATAAATTTATTCAACCTCCGTAACTGGTAATATTTTAATGTCTATTTCAAGAATGTTGACGTTGAAATTTGGGGGCCAGGAAAGCAATGCCTGACCTCATATACCAGCTATAATCATTTGCAGAGTAAACAATAGAATATCCAAAACTTCAGCATTTGTTGCTGACATATTGTATATCATGTTAAAAATCAAAAATCAAAACACCCAAGCTTTTATCTGAATTAAATCACGTCATGTACATATCTGTCCGGACACATGGTACTGTAGTGTAGACAATTTAGGTAATTTTGATACCCTCCTTGTCGGGCCTCAGATATAAGTGTCAATACATTCAGAAATAAACAAACTAGTTTGTAAGTTAGGGGAAGAACCTAGCTGAACTGTGTCAAATTTTTAGGTCTCTATGTTAAGAATTATGAAATCTGTACGGAAAAATGTTCAAAAAGTGTCCGGTTGATGGTTCCCGACCAGTATAGATCTATAATTTTTATAATTATTATATATAATTTTGAAATTATCTAAAATTAATCCACACATTTAAGAATTTTCATTCATATTTCATATATCGATTATTTTTTCCGGCTAATATTTTCTTACTTTTAGACACAGTAGTAAAGATAAATTATTGATTGTTTCCTTTGAAATTTTCTTTAAGGAAAAAAACAACAGGAAAATAAAAGTTTTTTTAATGAATATGAATTTCTGATGTATATATACCTCTGCACCATAAATGTTACATTTCTTGTCTGTTTTTATGAGCTCCATAACATAATACTTATATTTGCTCATTAGTCATTACTATACTTATTTATTTGCATAATGCTTCCAAAGTATTAATTTCTAATTTATAAATTTCTCAATATGTTTTTTAAATTATTATATTATGGAGAAGAATGTTTTAATAGAAATTTATACAGTAAATAAAGTTCTTTTATTACAAATAAACTGATTTTATGTTGAAAATCTTCTTTATTTTATTGATAATAAATCAGTCCAACATGTTGCCATAGTGATGGAAGTTACACCACTGATTAGGTAATTTTATTGCCAACATTTATGTGTCATTTCAGCTTGATTGGATTAAAAATGAGACTGCCAGAGGCAAATTACATAATGCACCCCCTATTATTTATGACCTGTCAATAAAACAGTGCAATATCCCTCAGGGAGACAGTTTAGATAAAATCAATAAGGTACCTAGGAGTTGGCTTATCAGTTATCAGTAGGGTTTAAGTGGTAGATAGTGTACAGGGTTGAATGAGTTAATATGAACTCCATAACTCCCAACATTTTTTCACCAATTTTCAAAATTTTGGTACCAAATGGTAAGAAATTGATTACTCTTAAAGAAAATAAAGCTGTCATTACAATCATTTCAAGTTGTAAGAAGATAAGTTATCTCGAAGTCACCGCAAGTGTAAGTCAACAGAGACCTGACCGCTTGGTTTTTGTCAGAATTACCAATACAGGCAAATGAAAATCCTGTTCTTGGCGTAAAGGTTTTTACTTTCCTTAACACTGATGATGAAAAATAAGTTATTAACCCATTACTTCATGAGCATTTTGTGAAAAATGGCTTTTTTCATTGAAAAGTCTCCCGTTACAAGTTCAAATTGCTATAATACTATAAAAACTGCTTCAACACTAATCAAACTTGGCACAAATGTTGACTGGACCATTGCCCTTGCAACAACATGCTCAGGCTTAAATTTTCTGTTACCATGGCAATGAGGGGACATATCAAAATTGCCAAAAATCACTATTTTGCGTTGATTTTTTCCATCAAACTTGATTTCAAAGTGCTGCAACTTCTCAATGGATTGAGATAGAGTCAAATGCTTTTCAGCGTTGCTTACACGTTACCTTATGATCAATCTGGGGTGATGAGGGGGACTCCGCCCCCCTTCTAACCCCCCCCCAAACAGAAGGGGGCACATCTTTTGGTTTTGATGTATCTTTTGGTTGGGGGGGCCACGCCGAAAAAGAGGTCACTTTTTTTAACAACATTTCTCAAACAAAAACAAGTGTTGGGGGCCTAAATAAGGCATTTTTTCACCATTTGAGGGGGGGGTGAACAAGGCGTTTAAAGGCGTTTATATAACGTAATGGGTTAAGACAAGAAATTAACATTTGAATCATAGGTCCTCCACCAAAACTGTTTAAATTTTGCCTCCAGTGTCAAAATTTGGGCCATCTCTGGGAACATTGATCAATAACACAAAATGTGTGCCTAAATTGGATGTGAACATAACACAGCCATAAATCTGCAGTTGCTTATGTCTAACTATGTTCCAGATCTAAAGGAAATTTTATTCTAAATAGAGTTTTAGTTTTCTCAATTCTTCATAAAATGATCCTCTAACAAATTTTAACAGCCCAATTTAAAGAGAAAAAGTTTTAATTAAAATTTCTGATAGTTCATAAAGCATAAAAAACATATATTTCCTTTTCTGTCACATTTCTATTTAGGGCTGTTATTGAATATCGCGATATCGATATATCATCGATATACATAATCCGAAACAATATTGATGCACACTTTCAAATATCGATACAAGCTAAAAAAAAAATTCTTTATGTTAGTAAATATATACCTCTCAATTTTGCTTAATAAGAGAAGTCGCTTTTTTTCCAGTTTTCTAGGCTAACTTGAACTTTAAGCTCTGTTTTCAAATGTCAGTGACAAAAATAACAGAAAAAAGACACTTTCTGTTAGTTTGTACTATATGTTATGTCTAATACAAGCATGCATATCACTATGATTCCAATTTAAAACACACATTTAAATGTTTTTCATTGTATCTTCTGTTAAAGTCAATATATCAATATATCGTCAATATTTGTCTCTCGATATATCGATACAAAATTGTCCATCAATGACAGCCCTATTTCTATTCGACTATAATATATACAATTACATTTTCAGAGTTGGTTGACAAGTGTATAGGATCAAGAATTCATATAGTTATGAAGAATGATAAAGAAATTGTAGGAGTACTTCTGGGATTTGATGACTATGTCAGTATCCTTTGTCGGTTAAGCTAGAAAGTCAGCTTCTCTCTTTTACCAGTGTTAGTGTGTATATTTTACCCCACCACATATTGAATTCTTGTTCAGAGATTTGTCTTGTGATAAACTTTTGTTTGAATTAATGATTTGAATACCAAATTTGATCAGTTTTCTGGTATATGTTTGTCCTATACTATAGTCATCACCATGATCTATTAGCTGAAGTAAAGTGTGGTTATTTTATAAATGAATTTTTTTTATTTTAGTTTTTAAATTTGAAATTTTAAAAATATTAAAATGGCACTGTCTGCATTGCAAAGGAAATATTTCCTGTAGCTTATTTTATATTCTGAACATAATGTAATGTAGAATAATTCACACAGGAGAAATGTTAGGAAAATACAGCTTATTCTCCGTAACATTTGCTCAGATATGGTATTAGAAGATGTAATTGAATTGTAAGTATAAACTTCTTCGTCTTTTTTTTTTTTTTTTTTTTAATAATTGGAATATATTGCATTTTATTGTGACCGCATGACACTTATCTAACACTTGAAAATATCTCTTAATCGTAAGCTTACTGCCACAAACGACGAGTGCAGACAAAGATCAGCCAGCACATCCGTGTCATCTAATTATGGGTTGCACTGTATGTTATTCAGACAGTTAAAGTAACCTTTATAAAAATCACATTGAAGAATTCATGCTTACATGTGTATCTTGGTTTTTCATGGCTAAAAACTTGGCTTTAATGTATGCATATTCTGTATTTTGTGTAAGAAGATTTTAGTTATTAGGGTCATTCATTAGTTTCTGCAGCTAGATTCTAAAGTATAAAATTGTTTCCTATTTCAAACCTTCAAAGTATTCCCCCTTTACCGAAATGCATTTTTTCAAAAACTAAAAGATATTCTTCTTTTGGAATCTGGCGCAGACACTGGTAAATTGCACTACAGAGATCATCACTGTATCTCTATATCTTTTCCCAAAAGTGACATTACAAAATGTATACCCAAACAAGAGATTATAGGGAGTTTGAACAGATGAAAGTCAAAATCAGTTTACATTTTTCCATAATTCCTTTCAATTTTATGAATAACTCACATGGCCCTATGAAATTTCTGTAAGTATATGTCGGAATTCATCTGTACATGTACCATTCAATATATAAAAAGACTTTAAATATTTAAAGCAAAGTTTTATTCTATCCTTAATATTTTCAAATGTCAATGGTTGTCAATTACCATTATAACAGTCAATCTTTTAAAAACATTTTACAATGATGAAATAAGCATAATGTCATTTTAAGGCTGGGAAACAGAAAAATGTGGCTTTGACTTAAGTCAGGAGAATAAGGTTGATGGTTTACAACTTTAACATTTTCATATGCCATAAAAGACTAAAACAATCTTGCTTTGTGAGAGGAGGAATTGTCATGTAATGTGTATAAGATGGAGTCATGACCATGCTTTGCTTATTGTAAAACCCATTCACTTTTTTCTGTACAGAATTTCAGTGACTTTGTAATGATGGACCTTTATGCAATACAGGGCCATTTGATTTCTTCACAACCACTCTATGTTATAATTCCTTCTTTGTGGCTCAAATATATGCACCCAAGTTTCATCACCTGTCAGTATGTTAGAAATAACTGGACTATCGAAGTCTTTGTATGTTCTCAGATGTTCTTTGGCACACTTATAGCACTGTTTCTTTTGCTCCTTAGTAAGCAAATGGGATACCCACCTAGTGCAAACCTTTCTTACACTCAAATTCTTGGTCAGAGTGAAAAAAAACTTTTTGATATGCCAGTACTATTAGCTTGCAAAAAAAAACTTGTTTAAAAACTTGCATCCTACACTGGCAGTTATGTTTGCCTAACAGAGGTTGTAGGCCCTACCTGAACAGTAGTCATCCTTGACAGACAATTTCCCAGCTTTAAAAGCTTTTGAAATGACTTGAGGCCAATGATATGCCACACAATTTATTATATATCTGCATTGTGACATTTGTTATAGTTTTGGATTTCTGTTTTATTGTCCATTGCACAATATGGTCAGTAAATTGGTCAGTGTATATGACTGCATGTATTTCTAATGGAATGCCTCATATGTGTATGATTTAAAATACTGTAGACATAACTTATTAAATAATCCTCATATTTGCCTGTTTTATAGTGAAAGTACTCCAGAAGGAAGACGTGTGACAAAATTGGACCAGATTTTATTAAATGGAAATAACATTACCATGGTAAGTTTGATAGAAGAATACTTGTTCAAGAATATGTGATCTATTATAATTATTTAAGCACTATTCCCAGCTATCATGCATGTAAAACAATGCTTCTATATATTTTATGTTTTAATGCCCCGTCTATCCCACTGTCCTGCTGTCCATCCATAGACTGACTGATTAGTGGAATGTTGGGGCACATTCAACATAATTTATTTTGATTTAAAAAAAAGTAAATTCATATTTCTGATTTTGCCACATAACATCACAATCATGCTGACCATCATGATATCACAATAGTTAATAGTAACAAATGTACATTTTTATCATGTAATGTGTTTAAGATAATTTTCTCAAAAGTTAATTCTAGCAGTTATGGTTTACATGAGAAATGTTATGCATTGTGTGATGTTAACCAGCTGTCTATACACATTACAATACCACTCAGTACTGAGCTGTCGTGCTATGTTAACACATGTTGTTCAATACTTATTTGTGAAGATTTCAAATGATGCCCCTTCAAATGTTTTATTGTTAATGATACTGAAAATTATTTTCACAACAGGCATGGACATAAAGTGAAACAATTAGTGAAAAATACAATATTCAGCTGTGTTAGATCTCAGATAATGAACAATGATAATTATAAAACATGACCCTGGTGTGTAATAGAACCATTTAATAAAAATATATTGCACTGGTGTAATAGCACTTTGACGTGACATCATTGGCTTTATATACAAACATAGTGGTGAAGCACTCTTTTGTTAGTGTTACACTATAGGCATATCAATGAAAAATAACTTTTTTACTTTAAATCCTTCTTATTTTGGATATGTGATAAATAAAAAGGTTTGCATAAAATGAATTTATCTGACTGGGCATGTTTAATAAATTTAGTATTTAATCTACACTCATTCAGTATCTTCTATGGTATAAAATGAAACTATTTATCAAACTGTTCTCCTCTATTAATCATATTGTCATATTATATTTTGCATTAATGTGCTGTACTCAAAACTCCTGTGAAGTTTGTTCAAAATTTAACATGCTGTTGATGAAGTAAATATTGTTAAAAGACTTTGTTGGCAATGATGCCCAATCATTAGCCTGGGTTCCATTCTGTCGATGTTTTTATGGTTCTGTTTGGCAAATCGACACTGTTACTATCAAAACGACAAACAAATACGGAATAGCGCTTTTTAATTTTGAACATATGTTATGAACAAAGCAAAATAAAAAATGTTATAAATAAGCAAAAACTATCAATGCCTGAATCCCAGACTACCCAGTCATTATACAACAGGCATCATTTTATCAACATAAAGCCCACCTCTGAGTTTTTGTGTACCTAGGTGAGCAGGTGAAAAAAAAGGTGAAGAAAAAAGTCATAAAATTTTGGAAATATCATTTGTATGTGTATTATGCTTTCAGTTGGTACCAGGAGGGGAAGGACCTGAAGTCTGACCTATGTTTGATAATTGTATGTGTGCTGGATGGAGAGATGCAATAGTGAAGAACAGGCATTGTGAAGAAATGGAGAAAATAGTTTAACATTAAAACAAAAACATGTGGGAAACACTTATTTTTATGTAATTCATTATATTTTTTCTTTATGGCTTGAGCATCAAATTACAGAGAGATGTAAGCTATTGTATATGTTACGATCTTTTATGTTAACAAAAGAATAAGATTACCGCTCAGTAAATAGAACTTTAATAAACTCTAAAGCAGAAGGATACCTTGACTTTCACAGTGTTTTTGTGTGTATATAAATCTACATGTGTATATAATTATGTACAATGTATATCTGTGTTTGCAAGAAATATCAAAATTCTAATTTTGTTCTCAAGTGCTTTGTTTTATTATAAAAAGATAGGTAAAATCATAAAAGTGTTCTTTGATTTATCCAGCTTTTGTCTAGTTTAATCATGTTTTTAGATTATTTAAAGGGTTTCATTCTTACTTTTTCCCTGAGAAAACAGCATTTATAATGAAGTTATGTTTTGCTGATAACCATGTGACGTCATCATAGGCTAACCATGTGACGTAATAAAAGAAACTTGACATTAATTGCTTAGTACTGGTTGGTTCTAGGAATGGATTTGAGCGTGTTTCAATAAGCTTACAGCTTCCAAAACAAACTAAAATAAATTTGTACATGTATTAACTAACTCTTTTAATCTGCTAAAAAAAACTCCTTTAAATTCAAAACCTGATAAATCTGTTAATAACAAGCTCATCAAGATAGATGTTAATACATGTATGTTTAGAAGAATTAGAAGTAATAAAGTGTGCAAATATTAAAGTGTGGTGTGTATTACTTCAGATTGGCCGACTGTGTATGGGATTGTCTGGTCCTAACAATTTATTTTGATTATCTACTGTTGTCGGAATTACCTCAGAGTTTGTCTTGGTATCCTTGCAAGGTCTTTCTTGATATAGATTCAGTGTTGTTTGTCAGACTTTTGTTCTCATACGAGTATATTTTGCTTGTGAGGATGACATGTACAGGGTCAACCTGTGGTAATAGTCACAATTTGTGTGGTGCATCCCACAATTCACTCAAAAATACACACAAATATTAGAGAGTAGTCACCTACACATAGAGGAAGCTATACATAGATCCCTGACCTGTACAAGTCTAATTATCAGATAAGTGGATACAATAAGAATTTCACCACAACCTATTTCTTAACAAAAAAGCACATGTCAATGTTTGTGGTTAAACTTTTTGTTATTCAAATAAAAGATCAGAGTAGGGATATATCATTCAAGCTTGTTTACAAAAAGCTTCTGGCTGTATATTGGTTTCACCTTGTACCTGAAATTATGCAAGAAGGGACACCTGAAGTCTTCATCCAGCAGTCAAACTAAATCAACACACATTTTATAGGTTGCACAATATTGTGGACTTACTAGTTCTAGAGAGGCCTTTCATACACCTAAGGTGACCTTACATTCTTTATCGTGTATAAGAAATTCCATTATAAGAACTGCTTACTTGAGAGTCACAGTGGTGAAATGTAAGTCAGCCACAAAGAAATTTTAACCAGGCTTCTTTGATTATAAACTTTCTCAAGAAGTTGTGACATGATTCATATAAATGCGATGTCTTACTAATGTTTTTTTGTGCACCAACTGTCCGGGTGGGGGGGGATTTAAATTTACCTTTGTCCATGCGTTGTGTCACATGTAGCTTTAAAAGTGCTTGTGCTGGCCAACAAACTTTACAGAAATCTTGATGTGCATGTGAAGTTGTGCACCTGGGATTTAGCTTGTAAATTAATTCTGTTTTGTCTGAGTAATTGCCCTTGCCTTAATCAACCTAGAATAAAGCAACTTTACAGGAATGTTAATCAACATTTGAGCAGTGCACCTGCGGTTTTGTGTGTCGATTTTTCCAATTTGAAAAGAGTTATTGACCTTGACTTAATATAAATTTGTTTCAAGCTCAAAAAGTATTTGACCTGTAGTCCTGAAACTGTTTATGAATGTTGGTCACATGTTTTGCACCAGAGGGTTTGCTTGTGGATTTATACAGTATTTGTTATTGCCATTGACTAAGTAAACAGATTTAAATTTTCAACTTGTGTAGGGTGTAGCCCAAAAGATATTTGACCTAGAGTCAGTAGACTGACAAATGGTGGAGTGTGGGGGCACCTGTGTCCTATAGACACATTTCTACTTAATCTTTTTAAGTTTTATTACACTTTGTCTGCAAACATTTTTCTCATTTCCTGAGTTTCAGATAACATCTATATTTTAAGGGTTGATTGGTTTGGGGTAAACACCATAATAGTTACAATAACTGGAGTGGAAAATATTGAGACAAATACAAGGTAAAACAATTCTCTCACATTTTTATTATAATTATGTCACATCTCCCCTATTAACTATTCACTAAACTTTAGTTCACATGTTAAAGCTGTAAAATCATAACAGAATAAAATGACAGAGAACAATTATACAAACATATGAATCATAAATACAAAATACACAAAATAGTCACTATATCCCCATACTTCTGAGGCAGATCAATACAAAATTTTACTATGAATTGTATAATATAATTATGTACTGGTATACTTCAGAAAGTAGAGGTTTATTGATTATATAAAATATATTCACTGTTAACAGAATAGATTACATTTTGTAAAGCATACACTGTTGACAAAAATAAAAACATATTTTTTTTCAAAATCTGCTAAATGACCTATTAGCCAGTTGTTGTTTTTTTTAATGAAACTGGTAAAAATTTAGAGAACAATATATCTTGTTCAAGCAAAGACACTAAATAAGTCTTATGCTACATATATATATGTGCTTTGAGTAGTCTCGAAATGTTTTATCATGGTACATAGATAAGAATAACTCTTGTACATGTACAATTTTTTACCTTTGTTTTCAAGCCTGACATTAAACAGATATTTAGATAATTGGTATACATGTGGAGATACAACATTCAACATAATTAAAACAATTCTTTTGTTCTAATACAAAGCAACTACTTGCAAGATGTGACACATGTTTGATTCTTTTTCAAAGAAAATCCATGAGAACATTTTTTTTGTATTGATTTCTTATTTTATCAGAAATGTAAATGAAAAGCACAGAATGACTAAATTTATGTTCAAGTTTTTTTCCTTGTTCTAATTTGCATAGATCTATCTAAAATGTGCATTACCTGTTAGTTTGTTTGTTGACATCTCTCTATCAAGTATACTGTATAATCTAAAACTGGACACCAAAATTGACTATCTACACAGATGCTACATTAACAAAGTCATTAGTTTTAATAAAAAATTGGCCTAGCATAAAAGCCTTCTTTATCAAAGCATTAAATAACACAGTTACGTTACCATGAATTACTTCCCTTTAAAAAAAGATCATGCATGGAAAAATATACCAAAAATAACTTACTTACTATTTAATTATAATATCATATCTTTACTCATATACTGCTACACTAAGTCTGCAAGATAATGTGTTATCAATAAAAAATAAAGCTTAAGCACCAACAATATGTATGGGAATGGGAAATACATATAATATCCAACATAATATGCCATTTACTGGAGTACACAGGCTAAAAATAGAATTCAGTGGTATATGCTTTGTACACACAAATGCATAATTCAGAATAGTAGCATGTGCTCTGAATAAAACAGGCAAAAAACCTATACTGTTGTATGTGATTTTTCATGATTATTTCAGTATTTGAACCCATATAAAATGTATTTTTTCCAACTAGTTTTTAATAGAACAGCTTGTACACTATTATTTTTTTCAGATTTTAATACAATGTTATTCTCAAAATGATTTACAAATGCATGAATTTTGAAATAAAGTACATATTTAAAACAGCACATTTTGCATCTTTAACTTCCTTAGGTTTTTTTAGTGTAGAAATAACATACCAATCAATTTCATTTTCAGACAGCATACAAAAATATTAACTTACAGAAAACTGCATGATTATACCCAATATACTGTGACTTTTTCAAAACTTCAATGAAATCTATACATCACATGACCACCTTCATAGTCACATGACTGTCTATATTGTCACATGACTGTCTATATTGTCACATTAATGCCTAAACTTTTACATGACCGTGCATCAAGTCATGTGATCTCTTCTGGTGTCTGATGAAACCTTTAAGTCACATATTACCTTCATCATGTTCATAGTCAAATTGTCACCTACATTGTCACATGACCACCAATATTGTCACATCACCACCTATATTGTCACATGATTATATTGTCACATGACCACCTATACCGTCACATGACCACCTACATTTTACATCAATAAAATAAAACAATACCAATCATCATCTATATTTTGTTATACAATATCTAACATATACAACAAACACTTAAAATACACAAAATCTTTCCAACAAGAACAATAATTATTACTAAAATGTAGAAGAATTAACAACAAAAATAAAAAGTATTTTTTTGCATCTTAAGTCAACAAATACACAATGTTTATGATATTAAGTTCATTTAACTATTTACTCCCAGTATTATAGAATCAGTGCAGGTCATTTCATTATAAGTAAGTTCTATGTAAATATCTTAGCTTTAAAAATTAAAAAAATAACCTTTTTAACACAATGTTACAATGTAACAGTGTCAATAAAAAAACTTTAATAAATTATATCATCTGATATTTCATACTTTTCACAAAACTCAAATTTTTGAGAAAATCCAATGTAAATCCACTTCCAATATAAAAATGTTGCTCTGATCTATTTTGGCTTATTCTTGTTTACAACAGTCTCTTCTCTATTCTGTTTCATATTCTATACTGCTTTAAGTAGAACTTTGTTTTGATTATTTTTCTATATTGTTCCAGAGACATAGATAACATATATCTGTCTCTGATTGTTCCCTTGATTTTTGACTGTGTAGAATAACAAATAATGCAAGTATGTATTATCTGTGATATATAATATAAGACTGTGTACATTTACATTATTCATTATCAAGTATTGCTTGAAAACATTGCCTCAAATTTGGGTATAGCAGGGCATTTTTACACATAGTAGGGCATTTTTACCCTATCACCAGGGGGCCAAAATATTGCCCTTAATTCCCAATACAAATTAGTCTCTTTTTCCAATTTTAACTTCTGGGAAGGACTGGAACTGTTTTGACTTATGACTGGTTATATGACCATACACATGTTAAAAAAATTTAAAGTCATTTGTAAGTTTCATTTCATTGATTGCTTAAAAAAAATTCAAATTTCCCAATATGTTGAACATTTTCTCCCAATTCATGCCAGGGGCATTTTCTCTAAATAGCTGAAAAAAAGGTCCTGCATAGATTATAAATGTCATAAAATTTTGGACAATTTTAAAATAGCCAAGATTGAAAATAGCAGTACATTGTGTCCAAACTTCATTGAAGAGGAGACTAAATGAGCCCTGTCATGACAAAACCAACATAATGTGTTTGCGACCAGCATGGATCCAGACCAGCCTGCGCATTCGCGCAGTCTGATCAGGATCCATGCTGTTCGCTATTAGTTTCTCTTACTCCAATAAGGTTTGAAGGCAAACTTATGTTGGTTTTGTCATGACATGGCTCAATTATTATAAACTTCTGCTACTCCAAAATTATAAAATATCATTACATGTATATTGTTTGTTCAGGAGACAAAGAAAACTATGAAATAATTTCATGTTATTATAACTATGATATATAAATTGTTCACAAACATCACTTCCTACTTCAATAAACAATAAACACAACATTGAATAAAGCACAAAGATAAAACAAATGTGTTTCTATCCAAACATAATAAATGTCTTTATTGATCTACTTCCATATTCTCTCTCTTAGCCTTCACACTTTGAGTACTTCCACGTCGACTCTGGTTGCTTCCGCGGCGACTTTGAGTACTACCACGGCGAGGTTTGCTGTAAATTACATTCCATATAAGTTGTACATTCAGTTTGTCTATATTAAAATGACCATAAATGTTGAAACTATATTTTAAAATATATGTATATTTGAAATAGTACATGATTGATGTGTGTAAATGATATTATCAACGGCACAAGTTACATCTTCAATGATGCGTAGCTTCTTCAACATAATGTGTTAAATAACATTCTATGTAATATGAATGACTATATTTGGCATATTCTACTTCCAAAATGTAACGATTCTAATGATAATGATAATTATTTTTCTAAAATGCATCATTAAACTGCAAAAACAAATTTCAAATTAACCAATAAGATGACAGATAGAACTGGTCTCCCAATTTGAAGGTTAGTCACTCCGATATATATTTTATATACTTGAAAGTTATTGTTTAATAGCTGTATACATAAAAAACAAATGAAAGGAATTTATATAAATGTAGAATAACTCTTTATCTAAAACACTTCATAAGAAATAAATAAGAATAAAAATACATATGTTAATAAATGAAACAATATCTTTGGTAATATGAACAAAAATAAATCCCTGAAGAAGCTTATCTTAAGTTAAAGAACAAAAACATAGGCTGTCCGGATTGTATGTGATTAATTGTTGTGAATTAGAAGAGATAATTGGCAAACACAGAGTTTATACTTCATGTACATCATTGCAATATTAGTAAGTTCATCGTAGTTTAAATGTTTTGTTAGTTTACTGACACAGTATAATATTATGTTTAGTTAAATAATATCATTTCAACCTCCAGGGAGACTGTATTTTCCTTGAACAGACCTGTACTTTAAATATGCGAAGAAACATTGTACTAGTATTTGACCAATGAAGAGCTTGAACCCATGTTTCCTGTTCAGACAGGCAGACACCTTAACCACTTGGCCAGATCTTCCCCTTGGACACTGATATCCATTATTGATTTTCAATGCTGCATATCAGTATCTTGTAGGAATAAATGTGATACGTTGATGTTAATCCTGCGGAATTTGTACAATGGATTTGCCCATACTTGAATTTGGAACAGTCCATTCAAAGTTTAGGGATTTCAATATTAAAACAAAAACATTATGAGAGCTACCAACAGTAGTGCATATATTAGTGGCAAAGGTTTATCACATTTGGTTCCAGCATGTTGACATTGACTAATGATAAAGTTAATAGTATTATACAGATTTTAAGCCTGTGAGAACATTGCTTTTAGTCATAATATATACGGGTAGGAATTATTGCCTAACAAAACAATTTCAGTTTGTTTACTTTGATGATTTTAGAGCTAGACTTTATCAGACAAATAGCAGAGGAAAGTTCCTAGATTCTGAACAAGTACTTGACAGTCACATGTTACCAGACAAATACAAACAAATGTTCCTTGTTTCTATTGAGAGCTAAATTTTATCAGGCAAAATTCCTAGCTAGTTTTTTTATCATGCACATACCATATGAATGTTGAAAACTACATTTTTTTCTGGCAAAATTTTACCAGGCAACTACCAAAGATCTAAGGTTCTTTTGAAAGCTAGATGTTTTCAGACAAATACTAAACAAATGTTCCTAGATTCTGTACAATCTTTTTACATGGTCCAGTATGTATGTTTATATCATATATAGCTCAAGCTGTTAGATGAGTAATATATTGCTAATATAAATCATTTATACACGGTCATATTACTTGTCAATAGTCTTTGTAATTAATTTATAATAAAGCAAAAATTACTGTATAAATAGACAGCAGCCATGTATACAGATTATATAAACATCACTATTATCCAATAAAAAGTTCGCAATGTGCAGTATTATAAATCAATATAAAATAGGTGTTGAGGAGGAGCAGCATTCAACGTAATTATTGTTATCACCCTGATGTTTTATTTGGCATATCAGACATCTGTAGACATAACTCTGTAAAATTTTCATAATGTTTGCTGAATGAAGACAGGATGTATTACATAGAGGTAGAATTGTTTCTTGATATTTCATATCTTTACCTTTTGTGAATAAAGATATTACTATTATTATTTATATAACAGTGCAAATTAAATATACACATCTAAAATTTTAGGGTGATATACAAATATTCTTTACAAAAATCGGACAATTGACTTTATCTAAAAATTTCATTGTTTGCATTAATGTGAAACAAATATTTGACCAACCTGCTGCAAAGTCTAGTCTTATTTCTTATCAAATATTTTCTCATTTTGTAATATATTGTATTGTTTACAGCCTCCATTTTCTAGTTTGTTATATAACCAATGACAGCACAGAACAAATGGACAGTGCCCAGTCATTTAACTAAGTCAAAACCAAGTTATTGATAAAAAATAAAATAAATCAGTTCAATAAGCACCAGTAAATTTCAAAAAGCTAAACATTTTTTTGAAATCTAACAAAACTATTTTAAATAAGGAGAAAAACTCTTCTAGAGAATGGTAAGTTAATTATATATATATCTAAATGAGCACCTAATTTCATCATTACATGACAAAGCTGGACTGATGCCTTGTAAGAAGGTATTTACATTAAAAATGGGCTTTTTATATTACAGTAAACATAATACAGTTGCCTTCAGAAATTTCTTCCAAAATATGTATAATGTATAGCATACAGAAAAACCTGTCTACACAGACCACCACTTATGTATAAGAAGGCAGCCATCATGTTTATATACATGTTATCTTGCTTTTAATTGTAGGAAACAAAAAAACAGTGGCCTTTTAAAAAACAAGTATTGTTAATTCTTTCCCTGCTATGACCATGTAATCACCTTGTTAAGCTTTAAATTTGGATCCTAATGAAGGAATTTTATATCCCTAACACTTCTTTTACAATATGAAAAACAATGGTAAACAATGTTTGACTGAAAAATTAACAAAATTTCAATTCTAACAGAGAAGGCTATGCTTTACAATAACAAAAAATATATATGATATAAAATGTCATATTTCAAAAAATGCAGGACAATGCAAGTTTCTGTAAAAGGAAATTTGTGTTGCTCAGAGAGATGTTGTTGCTATGCCATGATGAAGAAAAATTAAAACTTTATAAACTGTATAATCAAACAAAAGACACATGTGTATCTATTGTTAGTTTTTTTCTTTACATAATAAAAAAAGACATATGTTACCAGGCAGTGTATTGTTCAGAAATATCGGGCACTAGTTCAATATTCTACAGATGTGTTCAGAGCTATATTTTTACTTCTCTATAACATTTTAACTTGCTAACATTTTGATAGTTCCGAACTTTTTAGCAAAAACCAAAAATAAAAAATTACTTTTTTTCGTGTTAAGACTTTTGTATACATGATTTATATGTATATATCCTTCGCTATTTTTATTATTTGTCATCAGTAAAGAATTCATTGTTACATTTGTATTTTTCTTTCTTTAACTTCAAATTAACATCATTTTATGTTAAAATTTTCAGATTATAGGAAAGAACTCTGGTGTTTTCATTTTTAACTTTCATTTTCCAAGATTCAAGCCCTGGTGTGATATTTTAAATGCAATGATAGTTAATGTTGTTAACAAATATTGTTTAACTTCTGTCAGAAACCAGGAAACTGAAGTACATGTACTGGTATATAAAAAGATTTCCGCCTTAACATATGATGAAATATGGAAAGATTTAAATTGATAAAATTTGATTTCTAAATGACTAAAAGCTGATTCAATTTGTGATGTCCATCTCTATCCCCGCATTTGAACTGGCAAAATATTCATGATAAAATGGATAAATGATGACAAGCAAAAGGTCACATGATCTATGCTTCAGTGTCATCCCCATCGTGACCCTTCAGACGTAGACGAGCAAAATCTTCAAATATAAAGTCATCATCCTTGTACTCAAAGCCTTCCACACTGAAATGATGAAAACAAACAATTCAATCAATAAGATTATATAATAAAGTCAATCAATAACATAATTTAAAATAATATAATAAAGACGCCAGGAAATACCAGTTCATTAAGTTTGCATCACTCGCTGTGTATTGCTCACAAAGCAATCTCTATACAACTGCAAATTATATTAGAGTTACAGTGATATAAGCAATCTGCCAATCTATAGAGTACAGTATTCTTTCAAAATTTAATCATTTTACTAATCAAATCCTAATTTATTAACATTTTATAATGAATGGGTAATAACTCAGTATTTTTTTTTTTAAATTGTATTTCCTAAATAAAAAGGCAATATGAAAAGTTCATGACATTTTTTAAACAAGAGGGAAATAACTCTGAAAATTGGTCATCAGGATTGTTGCTTTTCTAGTACATTGTATATGTAAATTGCCAGCAATTTAAAGTCACAAACCTTAACATGTTGACTGAGTACGCCTTAAATATCATGTATTTAGTAATAAAACAAATACACAATGTGATTACTACATCAGGTGTGAGGGATAGGGGTATAAAAGTGAAATATTAAAAAAAAAAAATGAAACATTGGGAGAATATCTTTTACCGTATTACGAGTATGTGATATAATTTAAAATGTATACATTATAAACAACGATGAATACATGATTATTGCTTACTAGTCTTTGTTTATATCTGACATACTACTGCCTTTTAAATGCTAAAAGTTGGCAACTTTCAGTTGTATTGTAATTAAAACAAGTCTCAATTCTCAAAGATTTACTTAATTTTATAAAGAAGACATGAAAATTTGATGAAAACAGACATAAAAGATCATTTTTATTTCTATGTATTAAAATACAAATCAAAGAAGTCATAAATTGTTGATATGCAATAACTAACAAAGAACAATATAGCAATTAACCCATTACTTCATGAGCATTTTGTGAAAAATGGCTGTTTTCATTGAAAAGTCTCCCGTTACAAGTTCAAATTGCTATAATACTATAAAAACTGCTTCAACACTAATCAAACTTGGCACAAATGATGACTGGACCATTGTCCTTGCAACAACATGCTCAGGCTTAAATTTTCTGTTACCATGGCAACGAGGGGACATCTCAAAATTGCCAAAAATCACTATTTTGCGTTGATTTTTTCCATCAAAATTGATTTCAAAGTGCTGCAACTTCTCAATGGATTGAGATAGAGTCAAATGCTTTTCAGCGTTGGTTACACGTTACCTTATGATCAATCTGGGGTCATTTACAGCCTCTCACAAGTCTAAAATTTTCTTGGCGATGAGGGGGACTCCGCCCCCCTTCAAACCCCCCAAAACAGAAGGGGGCACATCCCCCTTCTGGCAACCCCCTGATGTATCTTTTGGTTGGGGGGCCGCGCCGAAAAAGAGGTCACTTTTTTTAACAGCATTTCTCAAACAAAAACGAGTGTTTGGGGCCTAAATAAGGCATTTTTTCATCATTTGAGACAACAAAAAGGGGAGGGGGGTGAAAAAGGCGTTAAAAGGCGTGTATATGAAGTAATGGGTTAACAGAAAATGATGAAAATACTTGAAATTACCCTAAATTGCGTTTTTTCATGTTTAAACATGGCCTGTCATATAAATTTGAAGAAAAAGTGTTGTTTTGTAGATTTTTTTATTTTTTTCATTAACCCATTACTTCATGAGCATTTTGTGAAAAATGGCTGTTTTCATTGAAAAGTCTCCCGTTACAAGTTCAAATTGCTATAATACTATAAAAACTGCTTCAACACTAATCAAACTTGGCACAAATGTTGACTGGACCATTGTCCTTGCAACAACATGCTCAGGCTTAAATTTTCTGTTACCATGGCAACGAGGGGACATCTCAAAATTGCAAAAAATCACTATTTTGCGTTGATTTTTTCCATCAAAATTGATTTCAAAGTGCTGCAACTTCTCAATGGATTGAGATAGAGTCAAATGCTTTTCAGCGTTGGTTACACGTTACCTTATGATCAATCTGGGGTCATTTACAGCCTCTCACAAGTCTAAAATTTTCTTGGCGATGAGGGGGACTCCGCCCCCCTTCAAACCCCCCAAAACAGAAGGGGGCACATCCCCCTTCTGGCAACCCCCTGATGTATCTTTTGGTTGGGGGGCCGCGCCGAAAAAGAGGTCACTTTTTTTAACAGCATTTCTCAAACAAAAACAAGTGTTTGGGGCCTAAATAAGGCATTTTTTCATCATTTGAGACAACAAAAAGGGGAGGGGGGTGAAAAAGGCGTTAAAAGGCGTGTATATGAAGTAATGGGTTAACAGAAAATGATGAAAATACTTGAAATTACCCTAAATTGCGTTTTTTCATGTTTAAACATGGCCTGTCATATAAATTTGAAGAAAAAGTGTTGTTTTGTAGATTTTTTTATTTTTTTCATTAACCCATTACTTCATGAGCATTTTGTGAAAAATGGCTGTTTTCATTGAAAAGTCTCCCGTTACAAGTTCAAATTGCTATAATACTATAAAAACTGCTTCAACACTAATCAAACTTGGCACAAATGTTGACTGGACCATTGTCCTTGCAACAACATGCTCAGGCTTAAATTTTCTGTTACCATGGCAACGAGGGGACATCTCAAAATTGCCAAAAATCACTATTTTGCGTTGATTTTTTCCATCAAAATTGATTTCAAAGTGCTGCAACTTCTCAATGGATTGAGATAGAGTCAAATGCTTTTCAGCGTTGGTTACACGTTACCTTATGATCAATCTGGGGTCATTTACAGCCTCTCACAAGTCTAAAATTTTCTTGGCGATGAGGGGGACTCCGCCCCCCTTCAAACCCCCCAAAACAGAAGGGGGCACATCCCCCTTCTGGCAACCCCCTGATGTATCTTTTGGTTGGGGGGCCGCGCCGAAAAAGAGGTCACTTTTTTTAACAGCATTTCTCAAACAAAAACGAGTGTTTGGGGCCTAAATAAGGCATTTTTTCATCATTTGAGACAACAAAAAGGGGAGGGGGGTGAAAAAGGCGTTAAAAGGCGTGTATATGAAGTAATGGGTTAAAGATGAAACATGTAAATTGCCAATTAGCATTAATTTTCTTTGTAACATTTTCTGGGCAATTGTAAATTTCAGTATCTATTAACAGTTAATTAATGTTACATTGTAACATTTTTTTAACTGGAACAAAGTCACATGATCAAAATATGAAGTAATAAGTGACAAATATGGTTCTCTATATGTAACATAGCAAGGTGAAATTATGGGTCCATTCCAGAATGATTCTCTAAATTTAACATGGCCTGGTGAAAACATGGATCCATTCCAAAATGACAGACTGGTTCTCTAAAATTAATGTAACATGGCCTGGTGAAAACATGGGTCCATTCCAGAATGACAGACTGGTTCTCTAAATGTAACATGGCCTGGTTAAAACATGGGTCCATTCCAGAATTACAGACTGACTCTCTAAATACAACATGGCCTTGTTAAAACATGGGTCCATTCCAGAATTACAGACTGACCAATTGAACAAGATAAAACTTCCAATATTACTATAATGGAATTTCCCTATTTCATAGTGGACCTGTTGAAGATCATTTCTGGCATATTGAAGCCAATGGCATTACAACTGTGCAGCTGACAGTGTAGACTGTTGTCAACTTTAGACAGTGTGCTAACTGGCCTAACACAATATTAGTGCTATTGACCTGCTATGGGTCATCAAAGGATCATTAGATTTTGGACTTAAGGTCTACATGTATAAAAGTCTACATCTAATTCAGTTTCAGAAAACTTCAGAAAATGCCTCCAACAAAATTATATACGACATGTATGTCATTATGAACATCAGGTAAAGCATCTATATATATGGTTATATAATATTAAATATACAAGGGTTTTGTGTATAATATCATATATATTTTAGAAGCTAGTACAATACATGTATATTCTAATATTAATGTTTATAGGAACAACTTCTTCACATGTTAGTACCTTTGAGGAAAATTATGGCTCCGTAGATGTATTTAAAAGCAAACATACACAGAAATTAAAGACTCATTTAAGACTGGATGTTTATTATAAATTTATGTCAAAGTGAATATCAAACTCTTAAGGTCAACTAGCAGTCTTGTTCATAGACAAGCTTGTTTATTTCAAGAGAACACCCCAAGTCTTTGATGTTTTTTGTTTACATACTACACTTTTTTTGAATAAGGGCATAATTATTCAACTAGGGCTTTTACATTATGAGGTAATGTGACTGTAACATGTAACTTTTTACATTGAAGAAGAAAAAGCTTCAAAGAACCAATCAAAAATGAATTCCAAGAAAAGTTATTTATCAGAAAATGTTTTATACCCTTTTTACTTAGTCAAAACATATTTATTGTCACTTGATTGCTCTGAAAGATTGAAGGTTACGTCCTAGACTGTACTGGTGAAAAAAGAACATTATTTAGACCAGAGTAGGACTCAAACCAAGGTACTTGATACTTAAACCACTAGGGCAATTGCTTCCCTTTTTATGTACAGTAAACTCCACTTACAACCATATACCACTTATAACGTTGCTGTTTCCACGTTCCCAACTATTGTTTTCAAATTGGTTGTCTCCCAGATATAAAGATATCCAGACATAATGACATAAATTCTGCCCCCTGTTTATTGTTATAAGCAGAGTTTACTTTGTTATGTTACCATAGCAACCTGAAGTTTGAGTCACGTGACTTACTTTGTATCCAATTGTATGAGATTTGTATCAACAGGAGCTTCACTTCCATCATTTGGTTTAGCAATACTTCCTTGCCTTGATGGAGCCGGACTCTCTGGGGGCTTGGGGTGTGTCAACGTGAATGGTAATTCAACAGATAAATCTCTGTAAAACAACAAATAAATACTATACTCTCCATTTCTGTGCTGTCAAATTAATTATCATTAATTGTTTTTCATTTGACCTTTCTGTCACAGCACTGTAAAGACTGTAAGGTGACATTTCAACTTTATTGATGAAGAAAGACCTCTACTGTTATTCATTGCATTATTCCAAGCACAAGCAGACACATAGTAAGAACCACAGACCTTCCATAAGATAGCTCGACTGTTTCCTTGCATTAAAGATCAAAAGTCTTAGACTCTTATATACAGCAGTTTGAGGCTTGTATTTGACCATCTTGAATTATTTATGGCATTCATTGGAACTAACATGCATGACCAGGAACAAATTGGCATCCAAACCTGGGTAGAACATAAGTTATTTCAAAGCTTGGCTGAAACTGTTTCACAAAGTCAAATCTTGAATACTCAAATTAAATGTGGATTTAAACTCACAGCATAGCTTAACAAAATGAGATTCAAAGATTTTTAACACAAAGACTGTAGGAGTGGTCAAAAGTAAAGTATAGTTACATGTATACAACCTTCACCTTCTGTTTTTCTGCACTTACCCAGACCCAAATCCTAATATCAGTCTAACTTTGACTTTATATGAGACAACTATACCAAGATTCTCTTTCTGCACATTATCCTGTACACTGAAATAAAATACAATAAAAATATTTTATTACTCTTATACAGTCTATTTACAGTTGAAAACTTTAGTAAAAAAAGATTTGAATACTCACTTAGTGGATGAGCCATGGTTTGTGATAAAGGCAAGATTTGTAAACTCATAGTGGATGATACTCACATAGTGGATATGGCAAGATTTGTAAACTCAAATAGTGGATATGGCAAGATTTGTAAACTCATAGAGTGGATATGGCAAGATTTGTAAACTCATAGAGTGAATGAGGCAAGATTTGTAAACTCATAGAGTGAATGAGGCAAGATTTGTTAACTCATAGAGTGGATATGGCAAGATTTGTAAACTCATAGAGTGGATATGGCAAGATTTGTAAACTCAAAGAGTGGATATGGCAAGATTTGTAAACTCACATAGTGGATGAGGCAAGATTTGTAAACTCATAGAGTGAATGAGGCAAGATTTGTTAACTCATAGAGTGAATGAGGCAAGATTTTTAAACTCAAAGAGTGGATGAGGCAAGATTTGTTAACTCATAGAGTGGATATGGCAAGATTTGTAAACTCAAAGAGTGGATATGGCAAGATTTGTAAACTCATAGAGTGAATGAGGCAAGATTTGTAAACTCATAGAGTGAATGAGGCAAGATTTGTTAACTCATAGAGTGAATGAGGCAAGATTTTTAAACTCAAAGAGTGGATGAGGCAAGATTTGTAAACTCATAGAGTGGATATGGCAAGATTTGTAAACTCATAGAGTGGATATGGCAAGATTTGTAAACTCAAAGAGTGGATGAGGCAAGATTTGTAAACTCACAGCGGATGAGACAAGATTTGTAAACTCATAGAGTGGATATGGCAAGATTTGTAAACTCATAGAGTGGATATGGCAAGATTTGTAAACTCACAGCGGATGAGACAAGATTTGTAAACTCATAGAGTGGATATGGCAAGATTTGTAAACTCATAGAGTGGATATGGCAAGATTTGTAAACTCATAGAGTGGATATGGCAAGATTTGTAAACTCATAGAGTGGATATGGCAAGATTTGTAAACTCATAGAGTGGATATGGCAAGATTTGTAAACTCATAGAGTGAATGAGGCAAGATTTGTAAACTCAAAGAGTGAATGAGGCAAGATTTTTAAACTCAAAGAGTGGATGAGGCAAGATTTGTTAACTCAAAGAGTGGATGAGGCAAGATTTGTATACTAACATAGTGGTTCAAGCAAGATTTGTATTCTCACATAGTGGATGAAGCAAGATTTTTATATACTTACATAGTAGATGAGGCCAAATTTATAATGGTAACATGGTGGATGAGGCCAAATTTATAATGGTAACTTAGTGGATAAGGCAAAATTTATAATGGTAACTTAGTGGATGAGGCCAAATTTATAATGGAAACTTAGTGGATGAGGCCAAATTTATGATGGTAACTTAGTGGATAAGGCAAAATTTATAATGGAAACTTAGTGGATGAGGCCAAATTTATAATGGTAACTTAGTGGATAAGGCCAAATTTATGATGGTAACTTAGTGGATGAGGCCAAATTTATGATGGTAACTTAGTGGATAAGGCAAAATTTATAATGGTAACTTAGTGGATGAGGCCAAATTTATGATGGTAACTTAGTGGATAAGGCAAAATTTATAATGGTAACTTAGTGGATGAGGCCAAATTTATAATGGTAACTTAGTGGATAAGGCAAAATTTATAATGGTAACTTAGTGGATGAGGCCAAATTTATGATGGTAACTTAGTGGATAAGGCAAAATTTATAATGGTAACTTAGTGGATAAGGCAAAATTATAAATGGTAACTTAGTGGATGAGGCCAAATTTATAATGGTAACTTAGTGGATGAGGCCAAATTTATAATGGTAACTTAGTGGATAAGGCAAAATTTATAATGGTAACTTAGTGGATGAGGCCAAATTTATAATGGTAACTTAGTGGATAAGGCAAAATTTATAATGGTAACTTAGTGGATGAGGCAAAATTTATAATGGTAACTTAGTGGATGAGGCCAAATTTATGATGGTAACTTAGTGGATAAGGCAAAATTTGTAAAATCACATAGCGGATGAGGCAAAATTTGTATACTCACATTGTGGATGAGGCAAGATTTGTGTCCTCATGTTTGAGTTTACCATCAAGAGCTAGACCTCTTTTGTCTCGGTTATTTGATAATAACGGAGTAAGGTGAAACACTTTACAGAAACCAGTCTGACTTGGCTGTATTGGAAATCCTTCTCTACAAACAAAAATATAAAATGTTAACACAATGATTGTTGACAAATTTCAATTAATGTAACTTATAATTTTATGAAGGGGTATGTTAACCTTCAAATATATACCCGGTAAGACATATACATTTTCCCCAAACTTTTGTAAGAAACAAATTTACAAATTTTTACAATTATATCAAGAAAAAATATACAAGAAATTAATATAAAATAAATGCAATGAATATTGTTTCATGTTTTAAAACAACAGAATGTATAAAATAAATGTTTTATTGCAAAATATCAAGTTTCATAATGCAAAATGTGCCATGATTATAATTTATTATAATGTGCAAAAACTTCTCTTCCAAAACGTAGTCTGTAAAAACATTTGGAATGAAGATGTGAATAAAAATATCCTACTTCACTTTTTGTAATATGTACCGTGCATATCTATATAATACTTACAAAGTTCACCATTGATGTTTCAAATATTTATATACCAAAGAAGTTTCAAATGCTATCAATTGGTATGCATGTAAATGGTTTACATACTGGTATAGCATACATGTCTCAAATACTTCTCTTTAAATGGTTATAATAATAATTATACCACATATGGGTAAGTTATCAATGGTTACATACCAAAGACATTTCAAATGGTTATATACTACAGTTTTAAAATATGTTTTAAAATGTTTTAAATATATTTGTATACAAAAGATGTATTATATACCACAGATGTTACTGTAGTTGTTTTTAATGTTTATATACTGAAGCTGATTTTGAATGGTTATATACCACAGTTGATTTAAATGGTTATATAACAGCATCATTTCTAAATGGTTAAATTCAACACTATATTTAAATGGTTATATATGCAACAGTTGTCTTAAATGGTTATATACACAGATATAAAAAATGTAAATATCTATGTAGAAGTCAATTGAAATCTTTCATTACAATAGATTGTAAATGAAAGAAAAAGTTGTCTTATATATATAAACCAAAACTGCTATATAAAGTTGCTTTTTTACATGTACTTTATAGGCTACTTTACCATGTAAAATATTCTTAAAGTAACAATAACTGTTAACATTATATACATAAATTATGGAGTTACATCTGAAATTCCCACTTTGATGCATTGTACACTGTATATATAGTTGATATAATAAGGATTTAACTCATTACAGGATTGGAGCGGTACCTATAGACGATTGCAAAATTCATGATCTCAAAATAGACAAATATTCTTTTTTTTTTCGTCGATTATTACATTTTTCATGCATTTACATACAAAAATCGGTGTGAAAAGATGAATTAGACCTTTTAAAGTTCATTCCGTTGGATAAAAAGGCAAGATTTTAGCACTTTATCATTCAAGCGCCTTGTCAGGTATATAACGGAATACGGTATTTAGTATGGTGCTCCAATCCTTTTTAGTGTCACTCATATAATAATATGAAATGGTGAATAAATATGAAATATATCAACTTACTCGCTCTCCATGTCAGCTACTGTGCATTTATACTGGGCAGTGGAAAATAAACATATATCTGCAAATTGTCTCACTGTAGGGTAAAATAAAAGGGAGGTAATAAACTATATGGTTATACTGATTGTCTGATTATGATAACATAAACAATTTCAAAAGCATATAAACTGGCTTTATACATAATCATACATGTCATTACATCCTGGATGTCCAGAACTGCCGCGGAAATCAGGTATAATCCCTGAGGTGTCCCAGAGAAGAGTTTTGTCCCAGTGAAATAAGTTCATTTGCAGCAAGAAAAATTACCATTTTAAGTAATCTTATATGCAAGTTAATGTTAACTACCCCAAAATGCTGATTTCAGATTGTCCAGCATGAGACATTATAGTATGGTATTACTCAGGAACTGTTGACAGTAGCCCTTTGATTGGTAAATCTCGTAAATTAGTCCAGACTTAACATACATGTAACTGTTTATAATACTAGTTTTTGACAGTTTAAGGGAACCTTATCACATTAATAAAATGATAGATAAACTGCCAATAATTTTTGACATTTTGTCTTTGTAATTTATCATAATGCTTGCAAGGTGTAAATATTGGTAAATTAATTGTATGTACTACGTAATTATCTTAAAAACAATTTTCCTCCTGATTTCTTAATGAACCCCCTCCCCCGACCCAGCCTCCTACCACCAACACAGCCCCCTACCACAATCTAGAATTAAAGGTGTCCTGGAATGCAATCTAGAAATAATGGCATATATGATTTTTTTTTTTTTTTTCTTTCAATGTCACCATAAATCAACTTCCTAACACTAGTTTTTATGTTTCAACTTGAATTTTTAACTTGACAAGTAAAAATGATGAAAGAAAAGAAATACAAAATCTAAATTTTAAAACTAATAAAGCCAGTAATAAATATAATTTTGTGCTAACATGTATTGTACAAGTTTGTGAAAGCTAACAATAGAAATATACAGATAAACACATTCATAATGTCTACAAATCAAAATAACAAAGGTAACATTCTTTTTTCAACCCAGTTCTTGAGTACTCAGACTGCCCCTCACTTCAGCTTATAATTAGTTCTGCAATCATGGGAAATTAAAACTTGCTTACAATATTCTAATTTCTATTTGTGTTTAGCTGTATTATATACATTATATTTGTGATTAAATATATCCAGTTCATAATATACTATTATATTAAATATTCAACATCAAATACATTTCAACATTCTGGGGGGAAATCATTTCCATGGCAACATCTCCATTATAAGCTGTATAAAGTTGACTTAGTTAACCACTTTCTGTGTCTATAATGGCTTAGTTAATCACTTATGTGTCTAGTATACCTTTGTTGACCACTTATGTGTCTATTATAACTTAGTTAACCACTTTCCATACCTAGTATAACTTAGTTAACCATTTCTGTGTCTAGTATGACTTTGTTAACAATTTTCCATACCTAGTAGAACTTAGTTAACCATTTATGTGTCTAGTATACCTTTGTTGACCACTTATGTGTCTATTATAACTTAGTTAACCATTTTCCATACCTAGTAGAACTTAGTTAACCATTTATGTGTCTAGTATACCTTTGTTGACCACTTATGTGTCTATTATAACTTAGTTAACCATTTTCCATACCTAGTAGAACTTAGTTAACCATTTATGTGTCTAGTATACCTTTGTTGACCACTTATGTGTCTATTATAACTTAGTTAACCACTTTCCATACCTAGTATAACTTAGTTAACCATTTCTGTGTCTAGTATGACTTTGTTAACAATTTTCCATACCTAGTAGAACTTAGTTAACCATTTATGTGTCTAGTATGACTTTGTTAACAATTTTCCATACCTAGTAGAACTTAGTTAACCATTTCTGTGTCTAGTATGACTTTGTTAACAATTTTCCATACCTAGTAGAACTTAGTTAACCATTTATGTGTCTAGTATGACTTTGTTAACAATTTTCCATACCTAGTAGAACTTAGTTAACCACTAAAATATGTGTCTATTATGACTTTGTTAACCATTTATGTGTCTAGTATGACTTTGTTAACCATTTCTGTGTCTATTATAACTTAGTTAACCACTTTCCATACCTAGTAGAACTTAGTTAACCATTTATGTGTCTAGTATGACTTTGTTAACAATTTTCCATACCTAGTAGAACTTAGTTAACCACTAAAATATGTGTCTAGTATGACTTTGTTAACAATTTTCCATACCTAGTAGAACTTAGTTAACCACTAAAATATGTGTCTAGTATGACTTTGTTAACAATTTTCCATACCTAGTAGAACTTAGTTAACCACTAAAATATGTGTCTAGTATGACTTTGTTAACAATTTTCCATACCTAGTAGAACTTAGTTAACCACTAAAATATGTGTCTAGTATGACTTAGTTAACCATTTATGTGTCTAGTATGACTTTGTTAACAATTTTCCATACCTAGTAGAACTTAGTTAACCACTAAAATATGTGTCTAGTATGACTTTGTTAACCATTTATGTGTCTAGTATGACTAAGTTAACCACTTTCCATGTCTAGTATGGTTAAGATAATGGCACTCTGTGTCTTAAGTACGACTTAGTTCACCACTTTCTGTGTTAAGTGTGTACTAGACTAAATGAAGAATTGAAAAAGCAACAAAAACTCTCAGATAGGCCAAATCTTTGACACGACAATTATCTGCGAAGAGCTTTCACTAGGCATTTTCAAATTTTAGAATAATTCATTAAAATTTAAGCTAGAATTATGGGTCTTGGTCAGTAACCTATAATTATAGCCATGAAGGCAATAACAAATAGGTATATATATCAGGAAAAAAATGCTAAAAACATGTGTCTTGGGAAAGAGGCCTACAATTATGATCTTATGGAAGTGTAAAGCTTGATCAGAAGTCAATAACAACTTGTTTTAATGAGATATGAAGTTCACACAAAATACCTTGATGTCAGTGTGATAAATTTAGTGCTTAATTTCTTTTAGTTAGTACAGTATATATTGTACAGTAAAATTTTGCTGTACAGAACACAATGTGAATCAATACTAATATCAGAAACAGAAACTGACCAAGTAAGCCAAGTTTATGCCAGCATTATAAAGGATATGATACCATAAGTTTATTGTACACGTCTACATTAAAGCATATATTTAGGATCCTTGCAGACATAGTCATTATGTTAACAGATATAAAAGCCAAAAAATTTTCTACTGTTTAAATTAAAGCCTGCTTTGTTCAAATATTTTTATAAAAAATAATTTCGTCAATTATTTTACACTATATTTCTTTTTTTTTTTGGCTCTTGTATCTGAAAGTCTTACGTAGTCTCCAGAGAATAAACTTCGAGCTCTGCCTCGTTTTGCTCGTACAATGTTAAAGTCTGAGACTGATGTACTGATAGCAAGTAAAATAACAAAATATTTGTTTCAAACCTTACACTAGAACTGTGAAAAAATATTGTCATTTAATGCCAAAAATGAAACATGTACATTTGTGTTTATAGCAAATAATATTTGTAACAATAGATGCTTGACATGTCCGTTTGACAAAATTAATAATATAGCCTTATGGATTAATCAATGACAGGTACAAAACACCAAATATCTAAGATATTGGTCTTATACTAGCTCTGTATACATCTTATGGCATATTTACAAGAATGTATCAAGGACAAAGATATAATTTAAAGATAAATATAACTTTTTTTGTTTGTGTTTTACGTCAGACACTTTTTTATTGTTTGCATTCTACGTTGGACCAACACAGTAGAGGTCGCATGGCAACTTTTCAAGCTTAACTGGTGCAAAAAGACTTCAAGTGCCCTTTAGTCCTTGCACTGTTTTACGCACAAACAGGCAACTGAGTAGAATCAAGGACATTCCTTAAGCTAGCTTGATAGCTTCCTCACATGAAGGAATGTAAAGTCCCTGTTGGGTTTCGAACCCACAGCAGTAAGGGGCAAGTGACCTTAATAAATATAACATATTGACAAACCAAACATAAATGCAATCATAATCCGTAAAAATATGATATTTTTATAAAGGAAATGGAATGTACCTGACAATTTTACTTTCTTGACTGTTTTTGAAGTATTATTGTCGACTAGAACATTGACAGCTATGCTTTCTCCATGATAATATTTCTGTAAATAGAACAAAATAATGAAAACATCTCATGTGATCAAGTAATGGCCATTAATGTGAATACATTTGTACTTATGTCCTTGGCCAAATAAAAAAAGCAAGATGAAATTATCTAATTAACCCATAACTTACTTGATACTGTACATTAAATGTACTATTCATCATTTTTAAGTCTATTAAGCTATATGTCTGCTGCCTGCAGTTTATAAAATTTTCATTTGAATTTTGAAAAAAGATTCTTCCAAAGTACTTGAATGAAAGAATAATTTTCTGTTTTTCTTCAAGAGTGAATGGCACATGTATGAAATCGTAGCTAAACCTGTTAAAACTCTACTGAAAATAGCAGCAAAATATTCAATTTTGCTGCAAATTTTACAGTTAACAAAGATACAATATTCATATGTGTTAAAAAATAGAGACATTCTATGCAATAACTCATTGGAGAATCAACCACAAGATTATGGAAACAATATAATTATACTTTTAATTAATTTTAATATATATTTACATAAAACATAGCTTTGTACCATTTAAAGGAAAATTTCACTAAATAGTTAACAGTGCAGATGCCTATGGATGTGCATGTTTATCTTGGTCTGCACTGGTCACATACTTTGTTAGATTCAGTTATAGCAGGGAAGCTAATAAGGTTTATAACATTTTTATTTGTATGTAATATTGTTGGTCTTCACAACTTTGATCAGTATCTTTCCTCTTGCATTTATCTCAGCAACAGCTAACGTTCATCATCAAACTATATCTCATATATCCCATTAAACCTTTTCATGTTGGAAAATACGCCTTAAAAGTTATTCAATTATGTTGATGGGCTTAATTAATACGGAATTATTCCTGCTCAAAGACTGTCACGCACACTGGGCGACAAAGTAATTAGTGCTAGCTTTTTTTTTCGGGGAGAAAGATGGTTCACTTTAAACCTAAATCAATAAAGTATATCACGTTTTGAAACACACTCATATAAAGCTTTTATTATGATTATAACATTTTCTCCGTCGCTTTTATTCATGACTTTTTTTTTACACAGATCTTTTCTGTCACGCCAGAAAATTGTAGGTATCTGTATTTCTAAAAAGAAACCTGAGAAAATCTACCAAATTAATTTTGAAAAAGCCAGAAAAAATTCCTATACAAAATTTAAACAGTCATATCTGAAATATCTAAAAAAAGGCTCAGAAAAGAAATCAACTATCTGACCCTTACATCACCGATTTGTATAATAGACTAGTCCTATATTGCATTTTGGAATTGTCCATTGTTTTTTAGAGGGGGGTTCAATTATCAGTAGGCTAAACTGATTTTGTTTGTTTGTTTGGATTTACCCAGCACCAACACAGTTTGGTGTTACAAACTTCAAAGCAACATCAGGGATAATAACCACCTCCCCTGTTGGAGCTAAGAGATGCACAGACTCCAGTTATTCAAACCCATTTAGTCGCCTCTTACTATCACACAGCGATAAAAGTTGGCTGCAATTTTTATTCCTCAAACAAGACATCCCCTCAGTCACAAGGGAAAAACTAAATCAGTTTGGTAATCATAGAACAGTTAACACTGTATAGATGAGCAGGACTGTCTGATATTATAATGAACAGTTTACCTATCCTATCCTAACCTTTACCACCAGTATAGAGCCAGGCCAGGCCAGCCCATACATCCCTTGAGTCTTGCACCAGGAACTAATACTGTTTGCTGACAAACTTAAAATTGTCATCCTTATCACCCTCAAAATGATCATGGACAGTTCTAAAATCCAAAATGGAAGCTGGACAAGTCCATTTAAGAAATTCAGCAGGTTATGGGTAAGAGACAAATCATTGCATAAGTACTCAAAAGTTTAAGGACACAAGTACTCAGTAAAACAATTCCAGACTATATCTTATATCTATTCTACTGTTTCATTGATATTTTGATCAGATTAAAGGCGTGGTAGCCTGGTATTTATGCTGAAAGCTGATTTAACAGAAGTGTCAATTAGCTGTAATAATGCTCATTAAACATGCATGCTTTCATCAAATCAATCAACATGCTCTGTGGTAAATCAATCACTGATTTAATCACAGATTTAGGCAGACATTTTCTGGTCACGTAACTTTTATACCTTGATGCTTTACTTTCACTGTTGTGTCACACATGTGACACAGGACTTTGATGTTAAGATTTTGTTGTTTATAAAATATACATGTCATACTGATTTTTACCAATATTATTTTTTCATTAAAAGAACTTTTGACTTCAAAACAATTTGGTGTTACTAAATATTACACTTTAGCACTTTCTTCAATGCTTAACAAGACACTGTCTTTCTAAGTTTTACAATCTATTACAAATGTACCTGCATTTTTAAAGCTTTACAAGAATTCCTAAGCTTTACAAGACGATGCATGCATATTTTCAAGACATTGCCTGTGTTTTTCTAGGCTTTAGAAGACACTTTTGTTTGATTTTTTAGGCTTTACATTGTTTGTTTGTTTTTCTAGGCTTTAGGCTTTCCAAGACATTGTTATAAGCAAGCCTTTAAAGACAGTGATTTTCTTTAAACACCTTTTTATGTATTTTAATCTTAACAATTTTTAGATAAAATGCATTAAAAAGGTGTTTAACTTGGAATATTTATGGTATCTTATGCTGAACAATTCTTGCACTATTGGTTTCCTTTAAGCATCAATGAAACTATGTAAATATAATATTCCAGAGTTCAGCACAAAACAGTCAGTAACTGAATGTATTAAATAACAAGGTTTGACAGTGCTGCCTAGAAACCTTTGATCTGCAGAATGATACATAATCTGCAGCACATAAACTTAATCCTGACTTATGGCTGTAAGGAGAAAACACAATGTCTAATTTTAAGAAATACACAGCTACATCTGTATGGATTTTACGGTCATATTTCAAGAAAGTCTGACAATCTGACAAAGAAAGGACACTAAGGTAAGGAGAAAGGTTTTACAGTATCTAACTAAAATTTGCATCACAACATAAATGCTTAACAAGAAAATAGTCAAAGAGTTAGAATTTATAAATTGTGTGCATGTACACCAATTTTAAAGTGAAATCTAGTAGCTTTGATCTTTCGATAAACTGGACCATACTGAACTAAAGAATATAACAATGCAATGTACCAAGTTCAATCCCCTGCTGTGACCTTGACCATTAAGATAGGGAGCTAAGACTTCCATACAACCTCCCATTATGGTGGTCAAGTGTAACAATTAATTTAATGTAATCATGCAGGTAAAAGTTATGGACTGGACACAAACTTCAATTTTTGAACTTCAAACTATATTACAAATTATGAAATATATGAATTAAATTCAAAAGTTCAGTCCCCTGCAGTGTCCTTGACCACTGCCTGGGTCTTGCACATGATGCATCATTTCCATAAAAAATATCTTTATAGTAAACACTCCCTGAATTTTTGGTTTGAAAATGTTGCAATGTCCATTATAAAATTATCATATTCAATGTAGCTGAATATTTCTCAATTTTCTGGGAAAGCTAGAAAAATTATCTAGAAAATTATCGCGAGCAGAAAATAAAATTACTATTGGGAATTTAGGATGTATACTGAATCATGCCTGCTGGCTGATAGTCTATATGTAAGAGAGGAGAAACTTAATGTCATTATATAATATTTGTCACTTATGATATCTAACTAGTGGTCTAACATTTGATAAAATATAAATGAGATACTTTATTTATTTCTGTTGACATAACGAGATAAAACCGTCTCACGAGATACGACCATGAATACATGGATGAATGTTTTGTTAGAGGAGCATTAGGTGTAAACTGCAATTGTGGCCATAGGACATATATATATTTCCCTGCAATTATAGAATACAACAGATGTAAACAGTGTCAGTGACAGACTTACCAAGGAGGTTACACAGAAAATAGCCTCCATTCAGCAGAGCTTAATGATACAACATTCCCAGCTTGTAATCTCAAATCTATCTAGGACATGATTCATCAGACACAGTCCCCACTTTAGACCTTTGATCACAGATCAGAGTCATGGACAAGACACCATCTCATTAATGTTATTCTTTTTAAAGCACTTATAAATTTCCAAGTTGAAGCTCCAGATGGACACACCCACTGAAAGATCAAGCCAATAATAACATACCTCTTTATCAAGTGACGCCTCCAGTTTTATATTTCCAGGGCTCATCATGAAATCTTTTGATGTTTCTGCACTAGGTTGTGGTGCAGGCTCCTCCGGGGCATATGTCAGCTTTCTTATGGCCAGACGGACGGAATTCCTGAAATATATATAATATGTTTTACTGCTATAAGACCTTGTAATTTTTATTCCTTATTACTGAAACTGAAATAACTCAACAAACATTTTATTCCAATAGTGCTAATGAATTATAATTATTTTTTGATAATTCAAATTTGACTCTCTCATATCATACTGAATATTTCCTTAAAAAAAGTTTTGTGTGTTAATCTCAACAGTACAACGATAGTATATGGTGGATTGCTAATTGCCCTATGCATGGCCTTCCATAATTGGTCTTTACCCCTCAACCAATTTTGACTTGTTATTTTCAACACAATGACCGAATCAGTCTTAAATATTCAATTGTTAAAGCAGGTAAGCTTTGGTCTGCCATATTCAGGACAGTGTCTTGAGCCTACCATATTCATGGCCAGCCATCGAATTTCAACATAATTATAAAAGTGCATCCCAGTTATTAATATTTCATTCTTTAATCAGCCAATCAAAACATTTTAAAGCCACAACCATAGGAGTGCGTATGTTCTAAGCTTAGTCAGGGTCCATCCACCTTTTAAGGCACCAGGAGTACAGATCCCGGACATGTCACCAATCATGTCCTTAGTATTTAATTGCCAAATGGTGACATATTAATTTTGAATTCAGTAATTTACCGAACACAACTCAATATATAATATCATGCTACAACCATACTCTGACTCCACTGATATATATATAGTCATATACTGATATAGCTACACACACAAACAATAAATGTACAGACTTTTTTTCTTATTTTTTAATAAAAAGAGAGTTGCCTGTAGGGTAAAGATCTGCCCTAGAAATCACAGATAACACTTGACAAATACTTGCCACTCGAGCTACAATCAATAAAACAAATAAGATTTCTCATCCATATCTGTAACAGTTTTTTTTTATGCTTCAAGTCTTGATCTGGTATAAAATAGCTTCTTAGAACCATGAAATTTTAAATTATATGATGTTAATATTAATATGCTTTAACTAGTATGTATATATAGTAGCTCCATTAATATATATGTAGAATGGAGAAGAAATACCTTTCAAAAAAAAGCTTGAAGTATTTCAAACTTTTGTAACATTCACTTCATTATGCTTATACTTTTGCACTGTATGAATCCTGGTCTTACATTTACATATCTTTGAATTTCAGTGGGGTTTTTGAACGTAAATATTTTCATATCAATTTTGCCATGTTGGGCTTTCTTTATTTCTGTTTTTCTCTAATGTGTTGATGATATTGTATCCTGATTGGTCTACTTTCTCTTATTCAGTTTCAAAATATATATCGTCACCTTAGTGCAATATCTGGTTAACTCTTATTAAGTTTAGAAGGACCCATTATTACACAAAGATGATGATACTGCTTTTTCAATTACAATTGATAGTAATATTAATGATATGCAAAATTCAGAATAAACTGGACAACACTAAATGCTAACAATTTGTGTATAATCATGATTGGTAAAAGGGACATTTTATGGATGTGTTATGGAAAATTTACCTTTTATGAGGTTTTTCCTCTAAATTCTCTGCCACATATGTCTTCAACTCATAATCTACACCACATGGCTGAAAACAACAAAAACAAAATATAATCAATACAGTGACTTACAATTAAATAATTTTAATCACATGAACTGTTGGCAGGTAGGTCTTCCCAATTTTTTATCCATTTTCTTAAAGGAACTCCACTGAGGTCCAAAAGAATAAAAACATGAAATTCAATTTTTTTACACATATAAGCCGGGAACTAAAAACAGAAAGATATGTAAAAGAAAGTAAAGAAATATTTTCTGAAATAAACTGAAAATCATGTTTGTGCTATTATTTGCCTAATTAGCAAAAAAGCCATGTTACGCTTTTCCATTTTTGGTTATTTTTCACATTAGAATGATCATTCTGGTAAAACGGAATGAGACAAGGATCTGAAATTTTTGACACAATTTATAAATCTAGACTTATATCAGACGAAACATTTATCTCGAAAAATTATTTCTAGTTCCAACATGTCAAAAAACCTCAGTGGAGTCCCTTTAAAGTACAGTTCAGGTGCATATGTCCGACCTATGATATTTAAAATAATCAATAATGCATGCAGACCACAGTGTTATTACCAACTTTCTGTAGTCAAGTGATTCACCTGGAGAAGACAGTATAATTACCTGAAGGTACTGACCCTGTATAAACACAGAATACAGAAACACATACAACCAGTATAATTATAAGAAAAATGTTTCTAAAAGTAGCCAAAATCTCACTAAACATTCTCTTTCTGCAAAATGAGGCAGACAGTCTATATTTTCCTTTTGTTAATGATTTACCAAACCTTTCATAAGACCATCGGTTATAAGATAATGGCCAATAAATGCTGGCTTATTCTACAATGATTGGTTTGATACTCAAAGTTCGGATTTTTTATTAGCAAATATCTAGACATACACAGTTTTCACCATCTAAATATGACATAATTACTTTCTGTCTACCTTTCTTTCAGTCATTTCACACAGTAATTGATGGGGTACTTCCTTATCCTTTCATCCAAACAAACCAAAACCCAATACACTGACTAAATAATCTATCCCCATTTCTTCATCCCAATATCTTAAAAACATTAATTCCAATTGAAATCCCTGCCACTTAATGTCTGTTTTGTCTCCCCTAGCTGTTAGCCAAGTTCACTTCACCAAGGCCCTTGTGACTCCTTTTGGTCAAGTTAAAAATCCCTACCACTTCATCACAGTTTTAGACCCCTCCTGTTGGCTGTAAGTTCATATAAGTTTAACCCCCCCCCCCCCCCCCGGTCACAAATCTTTGCCACTTCATTGCAGATTCCATCCCTCCTAAGTTTGCCAAGTGTAAAACCTTTTCAAATCATCACTGTTCTACCTTCTAATTGCAAATCTTCATACTACTATCCCATCTTTGCCAACTGACTTTAAAATGAAAATGTAAATTTTGAATTTGAAACTGTTCATTATTTTGATAGGGATCTTAGATTTGATTGGAATTGAAACCTCGAAATCAGGTACTGGCAACAATTAAAGTGGAGAGAAAGGTTATTCAATGTTTAATAAGCAGAAGTGCAGAAGGAAAGGGTGTTGTTTGGGGTTTTTTGCATGCATAATCTATTTCTGGCATATTCTTTGCAAAACAGCAGTTGCGAAGGTGTTTCTATGTGATGATTGTTTTTTACATTTGATGGCCTAAAAGAAAAGATTTCCAAACAAAGCACGCATAGAGATCTTTTGTAAGATTTAATCAAGTTCTGAAATGTCCAATAATTTGGACCAGCGGTCTATACAGCAGCTAACAATTACTGTTTTGCTAGGAAAAAAAAGAATCTATGAAAGGTTATATTGGCTATCCATATAGGTTATCAGAGACAATAATCTCTACAGGTCCTGAATATAATGCTATATAGTGTCAGAGACTATTGACGAGGGGAAAACATATCATAATCAGTTATATTCTGTATTGTTTGTTCTTAAATTCTTAAGTTCTTAAACATGTTCTCAAAAAATAAAAATACCATTACAATTTAGTCTAGAAAGATTTTTTTTTCATCCAAAGTTGATGCAAAACGTGTCTGATGCAGACAGTTCATCCTCTCCACAACTCCAACCTTCAACCCCACCCCCCTCCCTTACAATAAAACAAAAACGTTTTTCAATTCTGCATGCTCTTATTCATTTCCACAATGAATATTTCAAGGATACTCCTGACTATATTTAATGCTAGCCCTATGAGTAAATAATCTGAATAAGAAGAAAAATTATACAATGGTGATTAATTAGACTCTAACTCATTTTTCCTCTAACAGTGACTGGGATAATTTCCTAAGAAATTGATTTCTCACAAAACATGTCTTGCATTTGATCAAACATTGCTTTATTACAGGATAAGTGGTGCTTACTGACCCCAGGGGCATGATTTATATTAATTTTGTAGAGGTCAACAAGGCAATGCTACATGACAAATATTTGGACTCTAGGCATGTATTTTCAGGAAGTAAGACTGAAAATATGTTTTCTCTTACAAAACTATATCAACTAAGTCACCCCAGGGACGGGGTCAATCCCAGGGGCATGATAAAAATCTTGGTATTCTGTAGGTCACTCACTGTTAAGCTACAACAGTTTGTAAGAATATTTTGTAACTTGCTGTTATTTATCCTTTGTGAGATCACCACTTGAAAGTCCCCCTATACATGCATATATATCTCTCACATAAAGACACGCACATCAATATCAGGAATGGTATAATTGACAGATCTGTATATAAACATTGCCACCAATATATCTTACTCGTAAGAAACAACAGTTATAAGACAGAGACCTCCTAACAAGGGTCTATAATGAACAAACATCACATAAAATGTGATTAACTATACGTGATATATAGTAATATCTCATGCATTACAGCCATAAACAGGCAATCATTTGACCAGTTGTTTTTTTCTGAGAAATATTTACACCAAGGAAACAATTCTGAAAAGAGAATAACAAACTGTTGGTCATATTCTAAATCTAGTGCATTTATATCTGTGTCCATTATGTTTGATTTAATCTTTGTACTTCCTATTTAAGAAGAATCTGAATATTTATTTAAGCATTTGTTTTTTTTTTATGGTAATTTGCGTAATTACTGAACAATTTGTATTTTAAGTCAAAAAGGGGCCCCACTCAAATATTCTTTCAAAATTATGCCCCTTGTCTTACAATCTTACAACTTCATCTTGTCTTTGGTGTTGATACCTTTAAAATTGTTTGAAAAATGGACAACATTAAAGGTTTTTGCATGATGATGTCAACAGCAACCCAGCAATCAAAATAGCTCTACTTTTTCTTCGAAACAGATGAGCTAAAAATTGAAACAGACTGAGAGTTTACCACAAAAATAAGAGAGATTTGTACCAAGCTTCCTTTATTAATAACCTCACTAATATATCAACTCAGAAGATCTGACAACAGAGGGCAGAATACAGACCTAAACCTATCCCACTTCATCATTTCAATTTCAAATAAATTTATCAAACCCTGTGCAGTATGTCAATAATTCTGGTAGGCATGTATTGTTAGACTAATTTAGAGCTTAATTTACCATCTTTGCAGTCTGCCAGACTAGTAAGTAAAGGCTTTATTTATGGAGGTTACACATTCGGTTTCCCTATCTTCAAATGTGAGTCTCTAAGTAACAATTTTACAATATGTACTAGTAGCTTCATTTGTTTTCTGTGTCCTGCAATTGAATTTAAAGGCCAATCTCAAATTCAATGAAGGACAATTTCATTACATTAAGATCAGTGGGAGGATTTTATAATCCAGGAAGATATATGATAGAAAGTTCTTCTAACCTTTCCTGTGTCTCCTGGTGCTGGTTGTAAGGTCACTGATGCTGGAGCATTTGGGGGTAACTGAAAAATATATAATTTATGTTACATTAATACATTCTTATTCATAATATTTGGTGTTCATGATAAGAGTTAGTTATATTTCTTTAAAAAAAAATTTTTTAGCTTGATCGTAAACTTAAAATTTGTTGTCTTGAAGTCTGCTTCCTGAAACAAACTTGTTATGTAAGAAACCCAGTTGGGCTCCCATCATCAAATGGTCCGAGGAAAGTCCTGCAAAAAAGCTGCTCGATGCTACATTTAATTCATATCATGCTTTGCTACTGTACTGGTCAGAGGATATAAGCTGCTGACTAGACAAACAATTTGTGAACATTGGCAATAAATATTTTTTCTCAAATACCCATGCCGTTTTTGCAACTCTGGTAAAAATGGTACTGCTCAGTCATGCATATATTTTGATGTGGCATCATTTGCGTTATACAAGCATAGTGTTAAGATAGCATTACTAAATGCTAAATGATAGCATTACACTTTAAGTGTGTAAACGAAAAATATTCTTTTTCACCTTATACAATCTTTCTTTTTTGGTTTGTGATAATTCCTTTTTGGTATGTGTTAAATAGGATATTATATTCATGTAACTTCATTACTAAATTTATTGAACTTATTGAATAAAATTATATTATGCTCGCCAGAGGTTAGCATATTATAATTTTATTCAACTAGTTCAATAAATTCAGTATTGAACCAGCACTCATGCAATATCCTCTACATGTCATACTGTCATCATGTCATTATGAAAGTAAAACTGAATTTTTAACACTTTTCATTCCCAAAGGCCTGTTTAACAAAATTCTTTAGACCAATCAATTGAATTTTTGTATTTTCTGATCGCAAGATCAGTAAATTACATAGCTAACATCCACGGTCTAACACAAAATTTCCTAACAGTCCTAACAACGCAAAGTAGTTCTCACTAAAAACTGCTTAAAAACCAGCAATTTAAAAGAAAGAACAATTTTTTGTTACAAGTGTCCAACAAATTACTACACATTCAAACTTTAAAAGTAGCGTTGGCTTATAGAATTGTCAATAAATGCACACTCACAAATTACGCGGATGAATATGATTTTATCAATGAAAATGCTATTTTTAGCTATGTCGATTACCGAATACTACACAAATAAATCTGACTACCGAGTAGTTGAATATATAGTTTCTACATGCTGGACTGTTTGGGCGAGAAGATTTTTGCTAAATTATTTACTTCGATTTTAAACAACAGGTTTACCCTGAACAAAATACCTCGAAATTACCCTAACCCGAAATGCAATGGAAATTCTAAATTTAGAATGACTTGATTTTATTCAGCCTTTGCTGCTTAATGCAATATGGCAATTCTAAATTTAGAATGACTTGATTTTATTCAGCCTCTGTTTTTATAACTTCTCTGTGGTGCAGGGGTAACGCGCTCGTTTGTGTGTGAGAGGTCTGGAGTTCAAAACCCAGTCGAGTCAACATTTTTTTTAATTCTTTTTTTTAGTGTCTTTGTTAAGGAAATAGCCACGATATGCAAGGATAAAGTGTGTCTATCATAAAAAATGAACATAAATGATTTTTTGATGCAACTCTAGTTATTCAAAATTCCGTATGTATCAAACTCTGGTGCCCTGCAAGATGAATTATAGTACATAACAAGAAAAGCATTGTTGCAAAGCATCAAAGGGCGTCCGACAGGTGAAGATGAACTAGTAGACATATGATTATAAACTTTTCAATGGTTAATTGGTTTTTACCAGAATTGTTTATCACTTATGAATGAATGGACGAAAGACATTGTTCATTATTAACTTTGATTGGCATGCTAGAGATAAGAATATTACTTGTTATTTCTTTATGATCATGGTTATTAATAGCAACGGTTATACATGTATACAATCATTTATAATCCATATGTGTAATGCATGATCAACACCACACTTGTGTAATTGTCCCTTATTATGTTATCGCTATTAGCGAAGACCCCCCTCTAAAGGTATCTGTTCACACTTACTAACAATATGACACTGGTTACATTACCATGTTGATCATGTTGAGCATAATTGTTTATTATACAATAATTGTAATATCTATTTTAATAAAAAAAATACAGATTTTATGAATATTGTTTTCTTTTCTTTTTTGTGTTTTATGTGTTATTTTAATACTGAGTTTTTACGTTTACTACTATATTAAGAATTCAATTGTCATATTGACCGACGATTATAAGAAAAAACTTAACTGGAAAAAGTCAGTAAATTATGGTTAATCTTTCAATATATAATATTGTTTATTCTTAAACCATATACATGTACATTTGTATTTTTCTTTTTTCTAAAAAATAAACTTATACAGGAAAACACATACAGATATACAGTACGATTTAGATTGCAAAGATCAGAAAATACCACAGAGCTTGCAGCCCTTTGATTAGTTCTGGCATTGCATTTGTGTTTAAACATTGTTTTTAACCAAACATGCCCCACATCTAGAACTGAAATAAGTTTATCTAACATCAATGGCATGAAAAAACAGGAAGGTTGAAATATCAATTCTGCATCCACTTAAAAATTCATCTGAACTACTTCTATTTCTCTAAGTATTCACCTCACAACATTTATAGCTTTCCTTTTTATCTCATTACAGATATAAACTTTATTCTATTACCATTATTTTGCTATCTTTAAAAGAGTTTCTTGGTAATTTGTATTCCAAATATTGTGAGAGATGATGGCAATTCTCACAGTTTATAGTTCTTATGCAAGACAGTTCAAGAAGTGATATCTTCACTTTTTCTAAACTTTGTCACGCATATAGTCTGGCTGCTCTAAATAATAATGTAAAATTACAGAAATAAATGTTTATCTCAACTGATTTTAAATTGAAAAGTCTTGAAAACGAGGGAAACTTCATCTATAAAAAGTAACAATAAGCTATAAACAGCTGTAAAATACTGTTATCTTTAGTTTATATAGAATTTATTTTAGCTGATTGTGTATGAGGCTTTAAGGTTATAGATAAATCTTTGAATCCATTCCTGGAATCAGCAACCATTATTGAGCAACAAGTGTAAAACCATTCCTGGAATCAGCAACCATTATTGAGCAACAAGTGTAAAACCATTCCTGGAATCAGCAACCATTATTGAGCAACAAGTGTAAAACCATTCCTGGAATCAGCAACCATTATTGAGCAACAAGTGTAAACCATTCCTGGAATCAGCAACCATTATTGAGCAACAAGTGTAAAGTGTTTTGCTCAAGGAAACAACAGCTTGTCCCTGATGGCTTTGAGCCCATGTGGCTAGCCAATCTATACTACATGATTGTAGATTGATGGTTTAACCACTCGGCAATGCCACCAAAATCAATTTTGTGATTTTTGTACTAACCTTTGAGAGGGGAGTGGACAAATATTTGTATTTATCTTAATAAGAACCAGTGTTGTCAGTCAAGCCACCTGCTCTTTTTTAAGTTCTTGATAGTAAAACAAAAGCTTTACAAATGCAGGAATTGTCTTCCAATATGGACATATTTGATCAAATATAAACCTGTATGTCTGTGCAGATATTCCAGGCAATATAAACATGTATGTCTGTGCAGATATTCCAGGTAATATAAACCTGTCTGCGCAGATATTCCAGGCAATATAAACCTGTATATCTGCATATATTCCAGGTAATATAACCTGTATGTTTAAGATATAGCAGGCAATGTACTGTATTTGCATATTTCAGTGTTTTGGTATTAGAATCCCTTTTTTTAAAGCAGGGTCCATGCTCATTACTTAAATTGTGTGTGATAATGTTAAACATTGAGAGTATAATCTTACTTCAAAAAAGAAAGGATAGGCATTAGGTCCCAGTTTTTTAATAAGCCTCTCTTGTAGTCTTGTAAGAGGTTTTTGTTGATCCTTGACAGCTGGGTATACTTGCATTGAAGCCAGGAACAAGTCTTTTCTGAACGTGAGACCCAGTACATCGAGATCCTCTCGTCCATATCTAAATGCTGCAAGTACGTGTGCAAACACTTTACGCTCCTTTAAATATTCAGGATCTACCAAAACAACACCATCTGCAAAAAGAAAACGATGTTAAATGAGCAATTTTAGAAACAAAAGTCTACCCCTATTCTCATGTATTCTGTATCAAATTTAAAGCCCATTGTGCCCCTAAAACACTTATGTTTTTATTTCCCAAAGTTGTTTTTTATTTTTAGTTTTATGTTGAAGTTTCATAAAAGTTTCTAAATTTGCCACCTTTTGCTTCTGTTGCCTTCTTTTAATAAGTACAGTTATAGTGATTTGTATGGAAGTCAAAATACTACTTTGTTTACAAAAATAAATATTGTGTACTTAAAACACTTGAAAATATATAAATAAATATTGTAGATAATATTGTACAAGTACCTACTATGGTGAAGGGTTGGTCATACAGGTTATTTAGTTACCCTGTGTCAACCAGGGTTTTCATTTTTTATCAGAGGCAACAGATGTGCCAACGAAAACAACCGATTTGGTCAAGGATCAAGTGGGATATTTAAATCTACAAGCTGAAAATACAACCAATTTTAACAGCATTTAAACTGATAATATGTAATATGTATCACCAATCTGTAAATAATGAAAACCCTGGTGTCAACAACTGGGCTTTTTTCACTGTTTTAAATCTTAAACTTACCTATAGGGTCTATATGTGTGAGATGATCAATGAAATCTCTTTTCCCCAAATACACTGTAACTTTCCCATTAGGGCTACTTTTCTTGAATACTCTGAAAAATACAAACAATTTACCACTTAATCAAACATGTTGTAAAACCATCTTAAAATATCTCTTTCTACAACATAACAGGTCTCTCCCAGTTGTTTAAAGAAATAACCTGAAAAAAATGTAATTTCTTTAAATTACTAACATACAGATAGATGGAGCACAAAATAATATGGTCAGATTTTATGGCAAGATGAGCTATAAATCTTAAAGAAATAATATTTACTTAACCTTGGTATACCATGGTATTTATGATGTTTACATTATATATGTGCAATAGAACAATAATTTAAGACTATCAGATAGTTCATTGTAATTCTAATATATTTTAGAACTGCTTTATTTCAATCTGAATAAAGTAGGTTGCTAATTAAGAATAAAGAGCACAACAGTTTGAAAGGTACATGTACTTCTTTTAGTTTATAAAAATTTATTTTAGTTTGATTGTGTTGAAAGTTATATAAGCTTATTGAAACATTCTCGAATTTGTTCCTGAAACAAACCAGTAGCAATGTATGTAAAGTTTCTTGCACAAGGAAATACGGCTTGCCCCTGCCAGGATTTTAACCCACGCATTCAACAATCCTACTGATAAAGTTCTGATACCAAAAAGAGGGAGATTTCTTTAATTTGTGAAAATTATTTTAAGAAATTTTTTTGAAAATATGGCTGCAGAAAGTGGGAGGCTCCCGCTAAAAGTGGGAGAGTTCACATGTATGAAAATAACATACCTGTGTAGTATTAAAAAACCTTTTAATTTCATAGTATTGAATTAAATTATTAAGTTATGTGCCTTTTAGAAATGCATTCTAATTTAAAAATTGAATGAGTATTCCAAGTTTACAGTGACATTTTTTGAGAAATTAGCCTAAGAAGAAAAAATTCAAGTAAAAAAGGTGCATAACTTTGCAAAATGATATTAAAGACTATTTGCACTTCTTTTGTAAGTGTACATGTATATCACGTTTAAAGTGAATAACTTTGATAATTTCTGAGAAAGTGGACCTTAACAAAAAGATTAACCAGGGCTAATAATGTAAGCTGTAAAAGGCTCCAAATGTAAGTTGAACAAGAGCTGTCGGAAGGACAGCACGCTCGACTATTCTAAGTGCTTGATAGTAAAAGAGCCTTGATAATGTTAAATTTTTTAAGTTCACAAAAGGGCTTATTTTTTTTTATAAATTCAAGTTATAGGCCTTGGAGAGAGTCTAATTATACAGTATTGGCTTGACTATTCGGAAGGTAATGTCACAAGGGTGTTTTATTGAGTATAATAATACTAATTACCTAAGAATACATAAATTTGACAGAAAAGGTACAAAGGCTTGTTATTAAGATGTTTTATCAAGTAAATCACAGCTTTATTATTATTAATGCTTAAATTGTCCCAAAAAAGGCACAAACCCTTCAGTAGTTATTGAGATAACAGCTTACAAGCAAAACTTTACCATGAATTTCTAAGTTGAAAAAGGGGAGAAAAATCAGCCTAAATGCAAGATAGAATTATGGATCTTTGTCAGTGACCTACAATTATGACTCTAAATGCATACGTGAAGTTTTAAATAAATATCTTTAATAGTTATTGAGATATGTAAAACTTGCATGTAAACATTAACCAAGAGACTAAGTAGAAAAGGGGATATGAATCAGCCTTAATGCAAGATAGAGTTATGGAACTTGGTCAGTGACATACAATTATGACCCTCCAATTATGACCCTACGTGCATGTGTAAAGTTTCAAGTAAATATCTTTGAAGACCTTTAACCTTTAACCAAAATTTCTAAGTTTCAAAGGGGCAAATAATTCTGCAAATATTGCAGGCAGAGTTATCCAACTTGTCAATCTGATGTACCTTGTTACTATAAATAAGTATTGTAAGTTTCAATTGAATATCTCAAGCAATAATTGAGATATTTGACTTTACAAAAAAACTTTAACCAAAATTTCTAAGTTCCAAAGGGGCATAATTCTGTCAATATTGTAGGCAGAGTTATCCAACTTGTCAATCTGATGTACCTTGTTACTATAAATAAGTATTGTAAGTTTCAATTGAATATCTCAAGCAATAATTGAGATATTTGACTTTACAAAAAACTTTAACCAAAATTTCTAAGTTAAAAAGGGGCATAATTCTGTCAATATTGTAGGCAGAGTTATCCAACTTGTCAATCTGATGTACCTTGTTACTATAAATAAGTATTGTAAGTTTCAATTGAATATCTCAAGCAATAATTGAGATATTTGACTTTACAAAAAACTTTAACCAAAATTTCTAAGTTAAAAAGGGGCATAATTCTGTCAATATTGTAGGCAGAGTTATCCAACTTGTCAATCTGATGTACCTTGTTACTATAAATAACTATTGTAAGTTTCAATTGAATATCTCAAGCAATAATTGAGATATTTGACTTTACAAAAAACTTTAACCAAAATTTCTAAGTTAAAAAGGGGCATAATTCTGTCAATATTGTAGGCAGAGTTATCCAACTTGTCAATCTGATGTACCTTGTTACTATAAATAACTATTGTAAGTTTCAATTGAATATCACAAGTAATAATTGAGATATTTGACTTTACAAAAAACTTTAACCAACGCAGACGCCGACGCGGACGCCGACGCCGACGCCGGGGCGACTACAATAGCTCTCATATTCTTCGAATAGTCGAGCTAAAAAGGGGCATTAACTTTGCATAAACTAATTTTATGATTATCTGCCCTTTAGAAATGAAATCCTTTTGTGACTATTAACAAATACACTAAGTTTGAAAAGAATAGCTTTTATAGTTTCTGAGAAAATTAACCTTAATGAAAAGGTGTGAACCAACACAAACGCCAATGCCAATGCCGGCAAGAGCTATTTCATGACAATGGCTCCACTTCTTTTCTTCGAAAAGTAGAGCTAATAAAACAAAGTCGAGGCAAAATTTCACAAAGCATAAGTTATGTATATAATGATTTAGATAAAAGCATTATTTATAACTGTACAAAATCTATTGTAATTCTCACACTAGAAGAACAGTAATTTATGTAATTCCTTTTTATTGCCCCTAATTTGCTTCAACATTTTAAAACTGAGAACTGGTGCATTTATCTTATAAGTTACTTATTTCTTCCTCAACAAGAAAATTATGACTCAGTAAAATTTGGAAGCAGAAATTTTAGAGACGTTTAGGCAATAATATTATGCCGGGATTTAAAGACTATAATGTTACGTGGGTGTATTCCCTGAAAACTGCTTACATTATTGTTATGCATTTTTCTATAAAAGTTTTAATGGAATTTTATACTATTTCAGCAAATAGTTCAACATTAATGATGGCAGTACATCATCCAATATAGTTTTACCTCAAATAAAAAAACTTTCATGTTTGTTTTGTTTTCATTTATTGTAAATTATAGTGCAATTGAACTGATATAAAAAATTGGGCTCTTTTCCATCATTATTTAATGTATGTAAGAATAAAGCTATTAGTGATTATTCAGCATATTATAGACAAAAAACAAACAATACATAGTTCAAAAATCAAATTTTGTTGCATTAAACACTTAACAATATCAAGAATTCAACTCTGTTTAAAAACTATATACTTACTCGGGAGCCTTGTTCACAACCATGTTCTTTCCTAAACTTTTATTTTTACCCCTTTCAAATCCTATAGTTTTTCCCTGATATATTTATTCTATCCAAATTTGACAACATCCGAAAACTAGTATAGTTAACAATAAAAAAAAATTCTGTTTTTACGAGCATTACATAATGAATGTCATTCTGTTTAAATTGAGAATAGTTTGTAAAATACAATATTCATTCTCTTTTACGCATGACAAAGTGAAAATCAAACCCTTACAATGTACACGGTTCCAAATTTTAGCAAAAAAAATAACAGGAAGGTCAAACAAAAAACCTGAACAATCCTAATTAATTAATGAAAGGTTCATCCATCATCTGAATCAACTTAATTTCAATTAGCAAAGCAATACAAGGGAAAACTCACATGATGTAGTCTGATTAACACTTCAATTAGAATAAAGTAGATTTTCTCTTCCATTACTCCATTGCCTTTCATTATTTGAAGAAAAATATATTCACAAGTGAATTTTTAATCTTGTATATTGTCTGTGTAAAAACAGTAAGAATTAGAACTAAGGCATTGTTTTTCCTGTACTTGCAAAATAATATGGTAAGAAATAATACTTTTCAAGTTTTCTATGATGATCAATATAAATTATTACTGTTCAGACATTTTTATGTCATCTATTTTGCACATGATTTGTGGAAACTTAAATAGATCTACAAACCTTACACAACTTAGATGAATCCTGGCCTCATGTAGGAAAAACTGTGTTCCCCCAAAACACAACCTCAATGTTCACTAATTTATATAGCAACAAGAATGACTGGTATGGTTTGTAAGAAATATAATCAAACTCAAGAGCTCAGAGAGACTCAAAAGAAGCAAATATATATATTTATTGATCAGAAGCAAATGATATGAAAACTGTTCAAAGTCGTACAAACATTTTCACTCTGTTCTTTGCCATAAAACATAAATAATTTGGGGATTAATGTCTGGTATACTCAGTATCGATCAAATGATCAAAGTTCAGTCACTGGATTGCAAGAATAATATACATATTTTTCATAAAGCCTCTGGCTTTCACATTTACAGATAGAATTTCATCTAGGTCATATATCAAATATTGTAATTTTTAAAGAATTTAAATAAACTCCTCTAAAATTACCAGCTGGACTTAACATGTGACAAGTCCTGAAAATAGCATGGCAAATTAACTTTTCTACTTTGCTGAAATTGGTGCAACCTGACAAAAGCAATGTTTCTGCTAGCCAGATATATTTGTTACATGCTCTGATCTATGTCAGTTCTGATTTAATAATGTTCCAGCAAGCAGACACTCTGGACCTCCTTGAAGTTGGTAGTAACTACTGAATTTGACAATTTTCCATAGCAATATATAATCACACTAAATTATGTTATTTTTT